AAATAAATATGTATATATATACAAGAACAAAATATGGAATAAAATTTTTTCATTTAAGGTTCAGTTTTCGAGAAAATCGACTTTGAAAATCTGCTAGATTCGGAGGCAATTGAATAAGAGTGTTTCTACTTACTACTAGGGTGAATACACGTGTTTCAAATTAATTTTCGAAGTCGATTTTCTTGAAAACTAAGTCTTAAATGAAAAAATTTTATTTCATATTTTGTTCTTATTTTTTCATAAGAAATCACCTCGTGAAGTGACCTCGTCTCAAGAAATGGGATAGACCAAATTCGGTCCTCTGTTTCAACACCCGATATTCGAAAATGTTTGGATATATTATTCACAAGTCCACCAATACTTTTAACAGATTACCAATCCCTTACAAAACATCGTGTAACATATTTTACGACACACGTTACAATAAACTATGACTACATACCGACGATTTAAAATCAAACAGAACTGACAACACAATATATCATATTACCAAATATATTTTATCTTCAAAGAGTCTTCGATTATTCACCATCACTATCACAACATAACAAATTACACAGTAAACTCGCTCCAAGACGTCCGTAAATTATATCCTCGAAGAACGGAACACGTTTAACTGTATCCTTTCAGGCTCTCCGAAGATCTTTAACGCAAAGGACATTTCCACCGTGGAAGTGAAACGACCGAGAGGGGAGGAAAGTTTCAACGCTTCCCCTTCCTCTGCTCTAATCGATTCAATTTTCCAATTCGTCTCTTGTCCAGTTCCTTCGAACGTCGAAAGAGCTCGGTCGCGGAAAGTTACGCGTCGCTGGAAAACGACCCTTCTCGAGGTAACCGGGGGAAAAAAGGTTTCTCGCGACGTCCAAGTCGACTATTGCGTTACAGGGGCTGTCTTGCCATCGAAACTCGCGACAACACGGTCACCAACCCTCCCACCCCGAGGAAAACATTCGAGACTTCACACTGTTGGAAATATCCACGCAAACGTGTAAAATTCTCAAGAATGTGTACCACGCAGTGTCGGCGCCAGGTTATTTTACCGTTAAAAAACATACGTATCCCTTATTTTTGACTGCTTAACAGACATACGAAGTTTTATCAAAATCGGAGGAGGACACTTCCGTGCCTTCCCTTGTTAGTGCAACAAAAATATTAGGTTACTTTCGTTGGATTTTTGCACCTTCTCTTGGTTTACGCCCTAGGCGACTGCCTAGATCGCCTTAATGGTAGCGCCGGCCCTGGTACCACGCGTACACATCCGCGCGAGTTAAGCCGTACAAGATAGATGGTTCAGCTGGTGGCAACCCCCCCTTCGCCCACGGAACGTTCCGCTCGCGCTTATGATATATGGTGACGCTGCTAAAAACTGGCAGATGTGTTTCTACATCCCCCTCCTCCGTTCCCGATTCCCGTTTCGCGGCGATTGTCGTCCCTGGCCGGTCCCCCCGGGGGGGGGGGGGGGGGGGGATAAATCGACGCGAGGCGCGAACAATACTTGAGAGATTATACGCTCGGCCCCGGCGACTAGCGTCGTGACGCCCCGCCGAAAAACCCTATATACCTTGTTCCGGTGATATATGACCAGCGGACGAGTTGTCGCGAACCAGAGAGAGTTCTTGCCGTGGGTTGTTTCTTCGGGGACCGAAGAAAAAAAAAAATTCCCAACGTGTCGGTTCCGACGGAGTTCCGCGGAGGGGGAATGATCCTCGGACTGGGATTCGGAGTTCTTTATTTTCTGGCGGAAACTGGTCGTCCGATCGTTACGTATTTTTCTTCATTTTTAAGAATTCTGTTTATATCTTTCTATTCTTAGTTCTAGTGTTAAATAAATGTGTAAATAATTATTGTAAAATGTGGTATAAAATACATGAAGGCGCCTGATGGGGAGTGTATGGGCGAAAGTCAGGCGAGCTACCCATGGGCGTCGACAGGGGGAGGGGCAGTGAGAGATTTTTACGTAATATTTAGTATTGCCGTATAATTTGAAACACTACCAACAGCCTCTATTAACAAAACGTATACATTTTCAACGATTTATGACTTTAAAAACAAAATAAAGTTTTTCCAGCTACGTACAGCCTTTTTCACTGTGACAGTCGATATGTTAATATTTTTGCCCCTCCTGACTGATAACCTGGCTATGCCCATGGACCTACCCCCCGTCCCTATACAAAAATGCTATTTACGTCAATGGAGCCGAATGTGGAACTACTTTTTATATTGACAGTAAACTGACGTAAAGAATGCCAGATGCCACTACACAATTCACACCTGAATCACACGTGGATCGTGTTTTCAATTGAAAGCTGGCCGACTCGACCGAAGATCTACCGTAGAAACGAATGAATCCTCGATGAAGTTTTCGATCCCCGAAGAGCAGTAGGCACCGAGATAACCGTGCACGGGTTCGGCCAGCCACCGGCTTACACGATAATGGACTCTATTCCTTTTCTCGTTCGTTCGACGATTAATTAACGGTATTAATCTCCATCGACCCACGGCGATAGATCCTCCACGAACAGAATGAAACGTAGACACCCGAAATTCTTTCGGTTGTAGAGAAAGGGGCGCGTCTCGAAACGCCGGAAGGAGGATCCACGAGTATATAACGTTTCAGGTAGTTATACGCGTGAGGGGAAGTGTATAAAACTCGTTCGGGGATCCTTTTTTTCTCTCCCGTGGCCTGTGGGGGCAGAGGGGACCGGTGGGGTACGGGAGTGACACTGAAAATGGAGTTTTCACTTAAATTAACTCTCCTCAAAGGGCCGGGGATCCGCTCGTAACTGCACGAGCTGGCTCCTCCTCCTCCTCCTTCGGACACGGTGGTTCATTAATGTTTAGCCGGATCTTTGATTTCGTGTTGACCTCGGTCCGGTATTTCCGCTGAAACGAGCCTTCTTCTTTCGTTCTGACTTCGCGGAGGTCGATAGCTTTAATTACTACCCCGGTATTTCCAACCTTATCCGGCATCCAAGTGAATTAACTTCGCGGTGGAAAGCAGCGGAGTATTAAAAATTTAATAATGATCCTGTTTTTCAGGATATCTTTAAACTATTAAACAGAGTGTCGTGTAACTGATTCTACGAATTTTTTGAGAAAATCGATTTGGATACATAGGACTTTGCCAGCGCGTCTGTTCGTTGCATTCCGTTTCTACTTACTACTACGACGAATACCACGTGTTTCGGAACACTTTTCAAAGTCGATTTACTTTTTCACGTAGGATCGGTACCTACCCGGTTGTACTATGTAACACCCTGTACACCACTTTTAGATTCATCGGAGATAATCGAACTAACCTGTGAAACATATCCTAAAACTCAACTAGGATGCCATAACCTGCTCTGCGATGTTTAAGATTCGAAATATTACTGATCACTGAAGTGCACGAAAAAAAAAATCACACTCTGCCTGTTCCAGAGAGTTAAGTAGCTTCATTTTTCAAGTAGAAGTCCCGCTTCGGTGCTCGCCTCTCGGCAGAGGCTGAAATTTCAAGGAAAATTTCGTTTCAAAGACCCCCCAAAGGGGGGTGGGTGAGGTGGAGGAACCGCGTGAATACCAGCAGGTATTTCGAGCCGCGCTTTGATTGCAAGTGCCAATTAACGCTGGGGGGATGGAGGAAGGGAGGTTCCACCGTCGTCATAGTCGTTATCGTCGACGTCGTTTCACGCGTGTACCTCGCGTGTGCCCGCTAATCACGCCGACTGCAGCCGAAAACCGCGACTCCGCACTACGGTCTTACCGTCAAAATACACGGAAACTCGTGGGAAAGCGGTTCCATCGACGATTTCACAGGTCTTCCAAGTGCCTCCTCTTCGAACCCCAATTTTCTTAAAGACTCGCGTCGTCTCCTGTTCTCTAACCCAGACTTCTCCCTCCCCACCCCTTCCCTAAGAATATTAAAATTCGTTATATTCGAAACGCTTGTGGAGCTGAACTTTCTGAAGATACAGGAACCCAAGCAAATTTCATGTTTCCGTAAACAAGCTCAACATTTCTCTTTCTGCGTGATCGTTTCCACGAACTCACGAGCTTTCTTAAACTTTCTGCCGCATTGCGATATTCCTACGAGTCCATCCTTCGGTGTCGTAAAACCGAGAACACGAGGCCGGCTCCGCGGTGGGCCGACGGACATTAAGTGAAAACCAGGAAACAACGTGTACAGTCAGGAAGGTGGTGTTCGTTGCACCACAGTTTTAAGTCAGAAATTGATTTTCCAGCAAGAACGGGAGACGCTGCCGTGAATGGTTGTTCGCAAGCTGCCACCTTAAACGTGGCGAGGATGAGGACGAACCCGGTTCGAGAGGACGAGAGGATTATACCGTCCCTGTGGCGCGGCGTGGATGAAGGACGAGCCTAGGGACCCCACAGCCGCCCAGCCCACGGGTTCTGGGGTTAACCAACATTTACATAGGCGCGAACGTAGACTGAATAACAATGCTTGAAACGGAGCTAAAACCAGCACGGGCCATTCCACCGAGACGGCACGTTCGTCATCCTTCCCCCGTTTCTAGCGCACAACCTTGTGCGCGGGGAAGGGAGCGGGCGGTTCAATTGCACCCGTGTATCGAACTTCCGCAGGAATTAGGCCAGATGAATGAAAGCTTTGTTAATTGAACGGAGCTTGAGACTCGAATCGTAATACCTTACGGTGGTACACTTCGGGGCTGAAGTTATAATTAAAGTTATAATCTGTAAGTCGAAGAATCGTGTTTCTCGTCAGAAGAAAGTGTGGATCATAAATATACGGCGACCGTCATCGGATTCGTTTTTGATATTGTATCATTTAAATGACTCGATATTCTCGGGATCAATTTGGCTCAAGGGCCAATAGTTATGATAATGTTCCGCAGCTGTTATAGATAAGGAGTGATCCGAATTTAATAGAAAATTTTATCGATGAAGACTTAATCGATTCGAGACAAGGTACAGTAAGTGAATCGTATTAAAATTCTAACTTTATTATATCACAATAGATTTTATTTTTCATGTAACTGGTGACAGGCATTTATGATATACTATACAGAGTAATGTCTAGAGCTCGATTTTTTGTTCTGGGTTCACGCGCACCGTACTTTTTTATGCCATTTTATTCACTATGGCTAAGTGCAATGAATGCAGCTGACTCGTCCATTTGTCGAGAGCATTGTAACGCGCTGCGCATACTGATTTTTTGTCCAGCTCGAGGACTTGGTTCACCTGTTAACGAATGAAATACAATATCCCGGTTTCGAGACTAAGAGAGAGTACGGTTATTTATCGGTAAGATAAATTTAATCGTGTTACCTGATCGATACGGCCGCATATGGTGTTATCCAAAATACAAGACACTAAAAGACTCTCAACTTCCGACACATCGATATTCAATTCTTTGCTTATAAAAGGGATATAAATTCTAGTGTACGGTTTTATTAATTTAATCAGAACCTATAAAGTTTAATGAACGTATGTCATGTCTGAAAGTGTGGAAACCCAATTATGCACACATTTTAAACATACCTGAGTGCGTATATTACGTAATAAGTCTTCGATGTGCTCTCTTATAAATGGATCATCCATTATATTATTTCTATTTTGTTTTAGAATTAGTTCGAATTGGTTGATATCGTTATTTTGATAACTGACCACTAAGTTCGTCATTGCTAAGATCTCTGGATCGTTTTTGTATGGCTTTGCTTCTTGGGAATCAAAAGGATTGATTCCAGATTTCATTAGCCTGTTTTTAAGAATAATGTCTTAATAACAACTCGGTCTATTCATTTTCTAATCAACCTTACTTTCCTCTTACTACAAGTTACTTACATATTTGCTAGAACTAAATATTTTAAACATGTGGTACGTCTTGGTGAACCAGACTCATCATAGTTTTTAAAGGCTTCAAAGAAGTCAGTATGTGCTCTTTCGAATTCACCTTCTCTTAAGTGCATTTTTCCTCCACATTCTTATACAAAATACACAATTATGTTACCTACTACATCTAAGTTTTAATTTCGTCAGTAACAATTATATTACCTTACCTCTGATCACTCCCATTATTAACGGATGAGGTATCGCGCTCTTAATATGTAAACTCTGTTCGTACAAAGTCTTTAACTTCTTATTGTTCTTTTGTGCTGTGTACATTTGTATTTCTAGAGCATAAATCTCTAATAACTGTGTCCCTTTTTTCAAATCATCCTCTCCATCGTCAGTCTATTGAAACATATATGTAAGAGCTCATGAATTCTATCTCTATTCGATAGAAATTTAATTAAACAACACCCACCTGACAACTCTGATGAAGTTGTTTCAATATTTTTGCTAACTTATTAAAATCTGATCGATCAAAGTATAACTTCCCCAACTTTGTGTTTGTCTTAAACCATAACCTATCGTTCTTAGCATCTTTTAATGCATCTAACGTGGTCTCATAAAAATCTTGTAATAATTCCATCTACAAAATATAGGATAACAAACCAAAAAGAATGATAAATTTGCACAAATTAAATCAAATTAGAGATTACACCTTACTAGAAACACTCACATTCTTAGATGTACTGATATAATCTAATATGGAGTTTATAGATTTTTCTGAATGGTTTCTTGTAACTGCACTTTTGATATATGTAAGTAATTGTTTATACCTGGCCATCATTTCTTTGTAATTGGCCTACGGAAATCAATCATCATAATTCATGAATATATTCTTACACAATACTACTTTAAATAACCCACCAATTTAAAATTAATTTTTATCATTTGTTTTAAAGCTTTGAAGCCCCATTCGCCTTTTTCACCACCCTCCAAGTCCAGAACTTTTTGAAAACTTTGCAGTGCTGCCGTAGGGTCATCTTCTTTCAGTGCTTTACTATTGTAATATTGATTTTCTAAATCAACATCTGGCTCTGAATTTGAATCTTCAGAGTATTCCTAAAATTGGTATTACAACAATGTCTTATTGAATTATCCAAATTCTACAGTAACCTAATATAGCAACATGGCAAAGAAGGAAATGAAAAGCATCAATATAACCTAAAGGAAATTAAAATGCTACTTAATACCGCTAAATTTCTATCTTTTTAAGAAACATCCCTACAACAAAATCCTATATCATCCAGAGATTACAAAATAGCTCCAAAACTATTTTCAAATTTCATACATGTCAAAATGAGAATTCTAACCTATTATTTGACCGGAACGTTTACGAAAGTGACAACGTTTCTGCTCTGTAAAAACGAATACTCACAAGACCATAATCTTCCTCTTCCTCGCACATAAAATCATCCTCGCCGTCTGACATTTTTCGAAATACTTAAATACCTCGTATATCGGAAATAAAAAAGTTCACGCTACCCTGTTGACAACCGCAAGCTCTAACCAGTTTATATTTTGAAATTCACATGTGTGCACTAAGCTCATAATACATGTGCAGCGCTGTTGTGCAGCTTGCATCGCTGCTGATCCACTGTAAAGATATACCCTATCAATATGGTCCTATTATTCTGAATTATTTTCAATAAAATGCACACAATTCCCGGATAATTACTTCTATTGGCTTACTTCTGTGGTGGTGAACAAGTAAATTTCACTTAAGCTCACTTATCTTCTGTAGCAGGTAAGGAAATATAGCCATGACGTTGCCTAGTGACATGTCATGTTCTGACTGATTTCACTCACGCTCTAAATATGTTTTTGTCGGTGCAATAGGTTATGTTTCTGGCCTCAAAATGATTAATTGCAATGAAGTGTCAAGTGAAAATGAACCTATACTTTATGAATTGCTAGAGTATTTTGTTCGCAAACAAGAACCGGAATTAATTGTGAGTCAGCGTAAAATTTTATCAGAATGAAAATCATGTTACCCGTAACTTACGTATAAGAGCATGTTAATATTATTTTATACAACCAATACTCGTTCTAGAAATGCAAAAACGATGCTATAATATTACCGACAACTGGAACAATTAAAAATGCACTCAGGTATCTGAATAATAGGTACAGCTTACCAGAAAGCATATCACAGCAAATCAGTCTTACTTTACCATGGAAATTTGCAATTGGAGATTCTGGAAGATTACTTGCTGTTTTACAAGAAAATGTCATAGAAATACGAAAAGCAAAAGATGAGTACTCATCAGTTGTTGGGAAAGCCTGTGGTGAGTAATGAGTTAATACAAAATTTCAAATACTCATGCTCTGTTTTTTTTATGTAAGGATTCAACATTCAAAATCTAACTTATATCATTTATAATTATTTTCATAATGTTAGTTCCGAAGGATGCTTTCTCACAGTGGCGCAAATTATCTTGGAGCCCAGATGGAACACTTTTAGTATTAGCGTCTAGTAATGGTTGCACTTCCTTTTATAATGCTCTGGGAAATAATATTTTTAACATAAGTCCAAAGACTGTTTCTCAGAACCCTCAGATTTTAGAAGCTGGTGACGCTATAGCTTCTATGATATTTCTTAAACCAAGAACAAAATCTGAAAAGTGGTCTTATGAGTTCATGTTGATTACATACAGTGGCCTGCTCAGATCTTATCACATTTCACTGAACAATGGATTTGAAGCGAATTATGAATTCTCTTTTGGCCATTTTTATAAAAATGGGGTCAATGCAGTTGTTTATGATGAGAAACATTGTCTTTTCTATGTTGCTGGAAATACAATAACTCGAAAATTAACGGTAATTAATCAGTTTCTTATATAAATCCATTTCAGAACAATATTGTTGCATTCTATGTGTTTTGTTATAGTCAACAGCTTCAGAGAGTGGTTTAACATCATGGAGACCCTTAGATGATTACCCGTATTGCAAATTGACATTTGCCTTTGATGATGAATCAAAAACTCAGTCAAGATTTTCTATATGGAACATTATTCCATCATTAAGTTTGCAACCAGAATCAATTATATTCAAAATAAAGATCTCTCCAAATAGTCAATACATGATATGTATGCACACTGATGGTTCTATATCCTTGTGGGGGTTACCAAATTTATTATTACAAAAGAAATGGAAATTGTCTGAGCAGCCAGATTTTAATATACCGAATCCATTTGGACATGCAAAATTAAAGAAGTTTCCACCAGGTATTACAGAATTCCATCCATTAGATATTGGTTGGTGGTCTGATCAGGTAATACTTTTTTCTTATAGCTGAATTACTAAGATGTTATATATATTTTGGTTATATTCTTGTAGACAATTATAATTGCAAGATATGCTGGATCTATTTCTGTGTGTGCTACAAAAAACCTGAAGAATCTTTTAGGAACAAGTCCAGAATTTCTAACCGGACAACCACAGATATGTGAGCTTGGTTCAGATCGAGGCTTTTTGTGTTTGGACTCTGAAACCTTTATAACAAGTAAAAAACGAAATAGGGAATCGAATGTGGAAGGCCAAATATCAGGTTTATATACTGTACATTATGTAGTAGGTATATGCCCAATGAAAAATATAATTAATTCAATTTTCTAGAAGCCTCATCAGAAAGTGAAGAAGAAGATGAGTTAGAACCAGTCAGCATATTAAATTATACCACAAATTTAATGCAAAGTACTTTGTACTCCATAACCGACATCGAAAGATTTCAGCCTAAAAGAAAGAAATCAAAAGTATTGTTTAGAACATACAGAATCCTTGGTTTAAAAAGTACAACACCTGAAGAACTTTATTCGAGGAAAATCGACATAGAGGTATAAATATTTACATTAGTATTTCAAAATGAATGAAGTAAATATTTGGAATTTCTTACAGGAATACGAAGAAGCTTTGGCCTTAGCTAATACATACAACTTAGACACTGATCTCGTTTATCAGACACAGTGGCGAAAATCTAAATTATCTTTGAACGCTATTCAAGAACATTTGAGTAAAGTTACCAAACGATCTTGGGTCCTACACGAATGTGTGACCCGCGTTCCAGATACTATTGAAGCAGCAAGAGAATTATTAAATTTTGGATTGAAAGGTGCTAACTTGGAAACACTAATAGCTGTTGGGACATGTGACAATGGAAAATTTGTAGCGGACAACACAGATGAAGACTGGAATGATATGGATGAAGTTAGTGTAAGTTTACGACAGGTAAGCTGTATCCTTATCTGACAACATTCAATATATATACAGAATAAAATACTAAACCGTTTTAGTAACTATATTAAACGTTTATAAACACACAGGCACAGAAAGCAAATGTATTACTCGATAAGATTGATGTCAATAATTTGTCTGATGCTCAGATTGATTTAATTAAATATAGAAGAAAACTTCTACATCATTTGGACAAATTACTCACATACGAAATTATTTTGGGATCCTCGTTAAAATACGATAAAAACTTTTACGAAGAATTTCGACAACTTTCAGCGGTTGAAAATGCAATTAGGTACTAACAAAATAATACAAGTTATTTACAGTATGATGGAAGATTTTATACGTCTACTAAGAATATTTCGTTAAACGTAGATTTGCCAAAAATAGTGATTGCCAAGGGGTTGAAATTATGTTTACTTATTATGGAGAAAGTTTGCTACCTCACTGGCTAGCGATCATCAGCTTCTTCCCAGAAACATTAAATCCATTGAAATATAAGGAGCTCCTACCAAAGTGTGACACCGATAATCAATTGTTTTTGCTTGATCAACAAGAATTACGACAAAAGGATTGGTCCGAGAAGACTGAATTCAACGAAGTAGTTAGTCTGGACAATGATGATAAGTCAGAGCTACTTTATGAATCCAATCCATCGTTATCCGTATATAGGTAAGTTACAGTATTATACTTCGCTCGAAATATACTTGTTATATTTAACATTCATATTTAAGAGGTACCACACTTACGCCGGAATTGTTGCAAAAATGGTACGAATCGAGAGCCTACCAAATTGAAAGAAATAGTTATATGGTTGACAATGCTTTACAATTAATAAAAATTGGGAAATCTCATAACATTAATGGTTTAGAAAATTTACTGTTTGATTTGGAAACATTAGACGATCTTCTTTATAAAGTTTATCTAGAAGATCTGTCTTTAGATCAACTACAAAAGTTGTCTAATTTAGAAAAAATTAAACTGTTAATGAGCATGACTACCGAGAAAAGTTTTGTCGATGATATCAAAAATTTCGTGCTCCCATTTATAAAAAGAATACATCAATATTTGGTATGTATAAATATTAAAAAGAACAAATTAGAATTTACCATGAATTACCAAATTTTTCATTTTCTAGGATGGCGAACTACAAAGACATTTATTCAACGATTATTTAATATGTATCAGCCAAGAAGATCTCAAATTACCAGTAAAACTTTTTGAATACTTGAAAGTATCTCAGGATAATGAAATTCTGCAGATGATAGAGGACATTAGCACTTTGGCCTTGGATTGCACATATGCTTGCAACGATCCTAACATGTATGAGAAAGCGATGTGTATAGTAGAGTCTGTTGCAAAAGACCGAGATGGAAAGAGAAGTAGTGGAATAATCTCTTTGCTTGAAGAACTAGACAGAGAACTCGAGTGTACAAAAATCTTAAATAAATATGATGTTAAGACCACTTTGAATGCATTGAGAAAAAACAAGAGCGACCCTGAAGTTGTGAAACAATTGTTAGTTCAGATGGCAAGAACCTTGCATAAAATGTAAGTAAACGAAGAATGTTCGGGGTTTTGGTATAAAGAAAGGCTCATTTCTTCAATAAAAATTTTCACGTGACCCGTATACTTCCGTACATTGTCTTTACAACGTACTAAATGAAAGTTACTGATATTTACGTTTGTTTTAAGAGTTCCAACTCCTGACGAAAGACAGTGGACACAGTTACTGAACGAGATGTTGGAAATTCATTCTTTGACCTTTACCTGTGTTGACATAGAAATATGCTTTGAAATCTGTGTGTCATCGCGGTTAGTATCAGGTGTTAAATCTAACATACAAACGTGTGCGGCACTAATTGAAACTAAGAAAAACGAACAATCCCTGTTAAAAGTGTCCTATGAAAAAGCAGTAAATTTGATCCTTGAGGCCAGCAAAGAATATTTTAATAGCTCTAAATCCCTCACTGATTCTAACATGGAACTGGCTAAGTGAGTACTCGTATTTAATGTGCATAATGTGCACTATGTAAAATAAGGAGTCATCCTGATTTTAATTCTCACAAATAATATCATTCCAGAGCTTGCCTGCATCTAATTGTAGATGATAATGCACAAATCAAAGAAGAATATGATCTCATTAATTCACTTCAAATACTGAATGAATTCAATGTCCATATACTACCACTTCAAGTCAGGCTAATGCAGGATAGGTTAAAGTTGATACAAGACTGCTTAAACAGGCGAGCCGATGCTCACAAAAGTCGTCAAAGATTACTAACTCTGGCAACTTATCTACGAATCGAAGTGAATAATAGCAGAGCGAGAGAAGGAAAAGTTTTGGAATTGATAGCAAGAAAAGCACTCGAGGTAAAGTCCTTACAACCTATCATTTAAAATAAAAATAGAATATATTATTATCAAACAACGGGACTTTACAGGTAAAGGACTTTAGCGTCTGCGCCACTATCTGTCAACAATTAATGCAGAATAATTACGTTCCTGCTTGGTCAGTTGCATTCGATTTAGGATGCTGTGAAGGATATGACGATCTAAAGACTAGACAAAAATGTCTGTGGTTTGCAATAAACAAAGGGCCTAACGACATACTAAATAAAGCACTGGATCAAATACATTTGATAGAAATACAAATGTTGCACAAAGATTTGGAATTATGGATACCTCCTGATGAACCTGATAATCGAAACGATGCTGATGACGTAGACAGCGAAGAAGAATTTATAGATGCAATGACTACCGTAAGGAATATACATATAAAAGATATCATAAAAATGTAAAGAATCATACTATATTGTCTTTAATTTGCAGCCTCAAATGGAAACAAAAGAATTCGTTCCAAAAGTGTTAGAAGCTTCCACAGAAATAGTAAAGACTTCTGCAAGTATTATGAAAAAATCAACGTTTGGTTTAATAAAAAATATCAGCGATACGAATTTCTGGAAATCTAGATTAAGTCTCGGTTTTGCAAGTGACCAGGTCAACGATGTAGAACATAATGACAAGGAAAGTCATGAAGATGATAACGACGTCCAAAGTTTTCCATGTTTTTATGAATGTTTACATGAAAGAGGTAGACTTAGTAATTTGGATACTAAGTATGTAAGCTATTCGATGCCAGATATAGAAAATACAAAATTAAGATGTTGTCGCGCCTTTTTGAGGATAACAATGTTAAGTGAATCGTCATGCTATGGTTTAGAAGTGAGCGACATTAATCATTGTAAGTATTACATGAAATTTGAAGTGTAATGGACATAAATTAGGTATTAAGAAAAAAATGGTAATTTTTTTGTTTCAGTATTTTTAGAATGTGCAAAACATACTATACAAGAAGATTGGCTGTTAGGAATGTCTTATTTATTTAGTATACAGAAAAATTGTATAAAAGAGACGCAACATATTTTAACTGAACTAGCCCAAACAGAATTGTATAGTCAGACAGCAATGTATTATTATTCTTTGGTGCTACATAAACAGTTGTATAGAGACTTTGAAAATTTATATTTATTTAAACCGTTAAGTTTAATGCGAAAAATAATTAACATAGCGCATAAGTATAAGGAATCCGATATCTACGAGGGTTTTAAGTATTGGCAAACACGTTTGCTTAATGGTCAGGAAGTAGATGACTTCAAATTTTTTGATTCGAATCAAATAGTTGAGGACAATCCTATTCAAAGTTCAATGATAATTTCTGAAGAATCTAAGGAAGAGAAAAGATCCACTGAAGAACTGACCTCTCAGATTGATGGAAAGGATAAAGTTAACAAAAATTATTCTGAGTCTAATATCAAAGACGAAGTAGAGTGGACGAATGACTGGGGCAATTTTTCCGATGAAGACATAGGAGAAACTATAGAAAACAAGAAAAACATTCCAGAACACGAAGCGGATATAGATAGTATTTCATTAGCGAAAGAAATTGGTGATTGTAAAATGGAAAAAGACCGCTTTGAGGCGTTTGAAAGAGTACATGATAAAATACGAACTGAGAATCATTATTATGAAATAAAGGAAATATTATTGCAATGGCCTAAATTTAACGATCCTGTATACACAACTATTGACAAACATCCGATTTTAAAAATGATGAAACTAGCGATTGTGTGTATACACGAAAATGATAAAAACTATAACAAACAGATTTTTCAAGAATATAAGGATTTAATGGAAGCTTTATCTTCACAGGACGTAAGTTTCACAAAAAATTATTACTCATACATTAGTAGTAAAACATTTACATGTTAATAATATCTTAACATTATGACTGACAGGTGTTTAAGGAATTCTTAAATAAAGAAGAAATTCCGTTAGCACACGCGATTTATATCAGGTTGAACATGGATGATCCAGTATTTCACGCAGAAGCTATAAATATTCTTAATGAAAGGCACAAAGTGAGTATATAATTTAACTAAAATAGCCTTAAAGTAGTGTCTTAATTATGTCTTCAATAGTTTTAACATAGTGTCCTTATTTTCTATACATCCTCCATTTTGTACTTCAGGAAATGACATTAACAGCGCCAATATTAGAAACGTTATTTTTAAAAAATTTAACGGCATCTTTCGATCCGAATCACGAAGTATATGGGCAAGTTATCGAGCATGTACTCGTCAATCGATCTTTGTCAAATACCAGAAAGAATGCGGAAATTCTTGTACGAGAATTAAAGAAAAACAAGCATATATCACACGCTTTATGCATAATCAGATTAATGGAGGATATACCACCATCTTTGTGCACGTTTGATACTTGTTTCGAACTTCTCATGAAAAACTTCTGATAAAATAATCGCTAATACCGCGTTTTTTAACGAAAACTGATTTAAATCGAATGAGAAGGTAAATACGCGAATAATTTTATGTTGTAGTTTAATATGATTCTACTTACCAAACACGAAAGGCTTCTATTAAGATGAAAGAAAAGATCCGACTTCGAAGGGTACGTAATTGGCAGCAAAAGTTTTTATTCCCGTGTACGTCGTGGTACGATGATTCGAAACTAATCTGTATATATTACGAATATTTGTTACACTGTGTTGTTTGTAAATATGAATGTGATATACAATATATATATATATATATATATATATATACCTACCATAAAACAAAATATTTGTAATTTACGATACGGTTTGCATCTTCCTTTTCCAACATCTCCTCAACTTTTGACATTGCAAAATTTTAAACTTCGACACTACTCCACAGAATTTACAGTGCCATCTGCGGCAAAATGTCTCAGCTATTAACCAATTAGTATGGAGTTTTAATCGCGAGATAGCGCCATCATGACATTCAATATAATGTATATCTATGTTGCAATTTCTACTGAGAAATAAATGGTCCTTCTGTTCGTTCGCTAAAAAGTAAACGTATTAGAAAGAAGTTTTGTGTTTAAGTCCTGCCGGACCTATTTTTTTTTCGAGTATCAGAAAATAATAACGATTAATATTGCTATTATAAACACTCTAATATTCTTCTCGCAATCATCATTTTTTTCAAAAAACCTATTTTGAAAGTTTAGCCGACGAATATGGTCATGCCATCTTGTAACAAATTAACGCTACTAATTTGGCTAATAGTTGGACGTTTTGTCATGGATGACACTGTGGGTCTCTTTCATTACAATTCTCATTACGCATAAAAAATTAAATATTAAGTAAGAATATAAAAAAACGATATGTATATCGACATAATTGGTTATCACACTATGAAAGAGATATATTATTTCAACTATTGAATCTCGAGTTATTCGAAATAAAGTGGACAATTTTGACAGTCAAGAAACAGCCGTAAAACTGTAGAAGTGTTTTCACAAAATCCGTTCGACATCTACAAATATATGATCGCAGACGGTTAGACAGCAAAATAAGTAAAGATGGCACCTACCATGGATGCGGTTAGGGAAAAAGCCCTTCAAGATTATCGAAAAAAACTTCTTGAACACAAAGAGATTGAATCACGGTTAAAAGAAAGTAAGACACATTTACTATTTCGTATGAATTCAACTTATTTCCGGTTCCGTAACAACGCAATGAACTTAACCTTCGCTTTACTTATCAAGCCAGTCTCTTCATCAACGACTGTCACAAAATTAACAGCAACAATTATACTTAACGAATTATTATTCTTCTATATTCGTGATTCTAGTGCGAGAAAACTTGAAAGACTTGACGAAACAATATGATAAATCTGAGAATGATTTGAAGGCTTTACAAAGTGTAGGCCAGGTAAAAGATTAATCCGTATTTAATTGTATAAATATAAAGTTTTAAACCCTGAGGTCTTATAATATTCGTATTTTAGATTGTTGGGGAAGTATTAAAACAACTAACAGAGGAGAAATGTAAGTATACAATATATAATGAAATGTAGATATGAACATTGTTCAAATGTACTTTTATATTGCAGTCATAGTAAAAGCAACAAATGGGCCTCGTTATGTTGTTGGTTGCAGAAGGCAGCTTGATAAAAATAAGTTGAAGTCTGCAACAAGAGTGGCACTCGATATGACTACACTTACCATAATGCGTTATTTACCCCGTGAGGTAAAAATCATTTTTTTTTTGAAAAATTAATTTTATTTTTATATAAATCTTAATGCTAAACTCTTATATGCTAATCACTGTATGTAGGTTGATCCATTAGTGTATAATATGTCCCATGAAGATCCTGGTGATGTTACATATTCTGTAATTGGTGGTCTAAGTGAACAAATAAGGGAATTGAGAGAAGTTATAGAATTACCCCTATTAAATCCAGAATTATTCCAAAGGGTGGGTATAACTCCACCAAAAGGATGTCTCTTGTATGGTCCCCCAGGAACTGGGAAAACATTGTTGGCCAGAGCAGTTGCCAGTCAATTAGATGCAAATTTCTTGAAAGTTGTATCAAGCGCTATTGTCGATAAATATATCGGTGAATCAGCGCGGTTGATCAGAGAGATGTTTAATTATGCTCGGGATCATCAACCTTGCATTATATTCATGGATGAAATTGATGCGATTGGTAAGAATATCATAATTTATAAAAGAAATACAATAAAGTCTCTACAATATTCGTTTCAATACAGGTGGTCGCAGATTCTCTGAAGGTACAAGTGCCGACAGAGAAATTCAGAGAACCTTAATGGAGCTTTTAAATCAAATGGATGGTTTTGATTCTTTGGGCCAAGTCAAAATGATCATGGCTACAAACAGACCAGACACCTTGGACCCAGCTTTATTACGACCTGGTAGATTAGACAGGAAAATTGAAATCCCATTACCCAATGAGCAAGCACGTTTAGAAATTTTGAAGATTCATGCTGCCCCCATATCTAAGCATGGAGAAATTGGTGAGGTGTTACATTATCTCCTTATTCTTTTGTACTTTATATGCATGCTACTAATGGTTTTAAATCGTTGCAGATTATGAAGCAGTAGTTAAACTTTCTGATGGATTCAATGGTGCTGATTTGAGGAATGTATGCACTGAAGCAGGACTGTTTGCAATAAGATTAGAAAGGGAATATGTAGTCCAAGAAGACTTTATGAAAGCAGTGAGAAAAGTCTCAGATAATAAGAAACTTGAATCCAAGTTAGATTACAAACCAGTTTAATTGATATACACATACATTAATTATATTAACTTTAAAACACAACTGATTACTCATTAATGAATGTGTGGTTCAATAAAACAAATTTACTTTATTGTAATACTATTTGTATTTTATAATAGAAACATATGTTTGATAACATGGGATCATTTGTTCAAATTTAATGTTACAATTTATACAATTACACTTAATTCTTCCTTTACAAAGAAACATAACTTTCTAAACGTTAAAAATTATTCAGGAGTAGTTGATAAACGCGTTTTTTTTCTTTCCAAATATTCTTGTACATTATCATACTTTCTTTTATATAATATTGGAAATAAATTCTGCTTAATAGAATCTTTCCTCAATGTTTTCCAGAGACTATTTAATCGATTTAATTTAAAATTCATTACATCACTAAGTACGAACTTGTTTTGTTCAAATTTGTACACTTGAAATCCTGCTTCATTTAATAGCCATAAATTTCCCTCATAGAAGTGACATTCTGTAGGCTCACAATCTAGAATTATGGACTGAATGTATGTTGCTTTGAATTTTGAGTCTTTGGTGCCACTAATGATGTAAGCTAGTAACAATGAGTTATCATAAAAACTCATCACAACCAAAGATGATGTGGTATCAAGTACAGAGAGTCTTAAATGCTTAACAGGTAAAATTTCCACAGTTTCATCTAAGTGGCAATCCTGAAGCTTTTGATTGAAGTTGTCAATATCATTTTTAGATATTTTATTGCAGAAATCCACAGACAATAGTTCTTTTCCATTTTCATAATCCCACAGAATAAAAACACCATCTCCTCCACAAGATACTAAAATACTTTTGTCATGAGGCAATTCTAGAATGTTTGTAACAAATTTTTTATGTCCTAAACAGTAGGACATTATATTATATGAATTTGGAAACATGGACACTCTGATTTTTTCGTCTCTATCTGTGGTAATAATGTACTTTTCATCTTCTGTAACTAATACATCTAGCAACATTGATAAATGTCCCAAAAGCAGTATTCCATTCTCGGATTTATTACTCGGAAATAAGTATGCATCCCCAGTTTTATCAGCGACAACTATATCATTACTGGGTGTAAATCGTACTTTGCTAGCAGCTCTTACTAGCGTTTGATTCGATAAAAGATTCTGATTCCTCCTTTCGTACAGACACAGTTGTTTACGGTTTGTACAGACAAAAAAATACTTTCCATCGTTCGAAAACGTTACATTTGTAAGTGTGTGAAACGTTTCGATATTCACGTTATTGTGTAAATCAATTTTTTTGTCTATTTGCAGTTCAGGTAAACGGATCGTCTGTTCTGCATCGTTTTCAAGATTGTATATAACGACTTGCTCGTTAGTACATAGAGCTATGTCTGAGTCATATATACAGAAGCTCATAATTGTAATACCGTTGAATTAACAAAATGTTTGTAACTTATCCGAGATTGTTTAAAGAGAATCACGTGTAATCTTACATTCGTAAAGAATAAAATGTCGCATATAAATACATTATAAAGAACTAAGACCACAGTAAAACAAGTTTATTCCTCAACTGCACATTGTTTATACTGATTTGTATATAAAGAAGGAACATTAATAAACTTGGCCAAGTACATGGAAACTACACGTGCACAAAACACGTTGTCTACTGTCAACAATAAACGTGAAGAAACGCACAGGTGCTGCCAACTTTAACGAAAAATAATAATCGTCGATGATGTTTGATGTTCAATCAAGCATACGAACTGGCTTATACCCGAAAGTTGAATTAAACATTTCTTAGAAGAAATGTTCCATAAACGATATGTGCAGTATTTTGCAAATTTTCTATTTTGAATGATATGTAGTAAAATGATTTTTCACGCCACGATCGCACCACAGAGTATTGTTTCCAATTGTTTCTCTGGTGGCAAGGGTGGAATCAGGTGAAATGAAGTTCATTTAATGAACACTTTCATTCAACTGTGAACCGTGTAGTGTGTGATGTGAGTGGTATGTGATGATGAATGTATGCATACTTGAGAGCTGACGAGGCCCTCCAATCAAATTTGTTTGTGACAAAGAAAGCGAACAGGACACACGTGATCAAGTGAGATAGAGTGATAACAGATTAATCCGTGTACTGACACATGTAATGACGTACGTCTTCTTGCAGTGCTAACCATTGGTTGGCGAAATACCCCTCTTGCCCCTGTTCCGATCAGTTTGTTGGAGCTGGGCAACTCAGCAGCTCTCAACTGTACATAGCTGTCATTACTTGACACGCTTGGCACTGCTGGTACCTCGAACTCCCATAAAAACACAAACAAAGACGGTGATGTTTTGCAAATGTTCTTTGTGCAACACACGGTAATAGATACGAGACAGTTTTTGTATATAATAGGAATCATCGACACACGTCGAAGTATTTGCGCAAGCAGAATGCACTATTAATATTGTTCCGATCGTCCGTGAAGATTCTATAAACGTTTCTTTGTTTCGACTTTGTGAGTTTCAATCGAATCATCGATGACTTATCTAATAATTTAAATACGAATTTTGTTAATAATTACGAATTAAGAAATTATAAATTTTCTGATTTTTATATTTACACTAACACGCGACGCGATACAAAGACTGCAAAATGTGGAAACCGTTTGAGGCTGGTAGTTCGCCAGTCGACTGGTGCGAAGGCAATTACAGTATTTCTTCTAGTATTGCAGAATTCATGAACACGGTTTGTATTTTACAATAATGGTAATCATTTTTCAAACCTAATATTTGAATGTAACTGTGATAAAGCAACAAGAAAATCGTTTAAATTTTACAGCTAAGTAATCTGGTGTTTCTAGTGCTTCCTCCTGTTCTTATGCACCTGTTTAGAGATTATGGACGATTCGTAAATCCAGGGATTCATATCATCTGGTTCTTATTAATGATTGTAGGCCTTAGCAGCGCATACTTTCATGCTACCTTGTCTCTTATAGGTGAGTAGTTTATTGTTCTAGACATCAACATTATTAATTCAATTTAAGTACTTTTACTTTGTTATAATAGGACAATTATTAGACGAATTAGCAATCTTATGGGTATACATGGCAGGTTTCTGTATGTTTTTTCCAAGAAGATATTTCCCAAATATTTTGCACAATGATAGGAAACTCCTTTCTATATGTGCATTATTACCAACCCTTATTGCAACTGGTTTGTCATTTATACATCCTGCAATAAATGCATTTGCATTGATGACTCTAGGTATACCAGCATTCGGATTTATGATAATAGAGTTGAAAAGGTAAATACTTAAGTAATATTCATAAAGAAGCTCTATAGAATAATGTCATACCAAGTTATAATGTCTTCTACCCATTTTTAAGGACAAAGTCACTGAGAGTCTATAGACTAGGTTTAAGATGTGGTGCTGTTTGGTTACTAGCAGTCACATGCTGGTTAAATGATCGTTTATTTTGTGATACCTGGCTGAACTTAAATTTCCCTTATTTACATGCACTTTGGCATTTGTTTATTTTCATAGCAAGTTATACAGCAGCTGTACTTTTTGCCTATTTCTCTGTAAAAGATGAACGACCCCAACAATCGCCAGTACTAAAATATTGGCCAAAGGATGACTTTGAACTTGGTATACCATATGTAACAATTAGAAGTTACATTAAGCTTGATACGAACACCAATATATAAGTACTGATATAGAAAATAAGAAGTCCAGCTTTGTATTTATCAATTAATGATCTTAATTTTGAAGATAAACAGACAGAATAGTGTGTGCACATAATAGTATGTCAGTATACTTTGCTTACATTAATAACTTAACTTTATACCAGTGTTTTTACAAAGATATATATATATTTTGCATTTGTCTATCTTACATAAAAGGTAAATGCATCTTTGAATTTGTGATACTACTGTAGGTATTACTTTTTGTACAAATATATGTGATTAAAGAATTAGTAAGTTATGTTTAGAAGTGCAATATTAAGATAGAATATAAAAACCATTTATTCTCTTAACTATGAACTGATATAGTTGTAGCATATTTATGTATTGGAAAATGAATGCGATACTAAATTAACATGAAAATAAAATTAGGCATTCATTATACTTGGTTTATTTTCGTAATCATTATTTAGAATGATATCAGTCAGTAGAAACATGCTTTGAATATTCTTCGAATGAATAGATTTTTTTCATTCAGTGTGTATTTATTATGCTATTTTGTATTTTATACAATAGACTTTAACAAATTCAATGTATTATGTAAACAGTTTACATAAAAAAATATTTATATGTTTAAGTAAAGAGACAGATATTTTAAGCTTAACCCTTATAAACACATTGTGATATATTTATGTACTCTTATATGTGGAAAATAAATTGTATTTAAAAATTAACATTTAATTTCTCCTCTGTAAATAACAATATTTCTGTCTGTTTCATAGATTTTTACCTCGTATAACAAACCTGGATTAGGCATAATTTTTTGTAATTCATTAAATACATAAATAGCCACGTTTTCAGTTGTTGAAACAACATTTTTAAAATGAGATACATCCTTGTCCAAATTTTTATGATCCAGCTGTTCTATTAATACTTTTTTCATGTATAATTTTAAATCTGATAAGTTCATTACCATACCAGTAACAGAATCCACGGGTCCACGCACAGTAACTTCAACTGAAATAAATGGATTATAGTATGAAGTAGCAGATATTAATATAACAATAACAATTACCGGTATAATTATGACCATGTCCCCAATAGTTGTTACATTTTCCATATACGTTTTTGTTTTCCTCCTCTGACAAATTATTACTGGAAAAAAGAGAATACGAAAACAATAAGTAAAGAATATGAACGAATTTTACATAAACGACAAAATAATTTGTAGTACCTGTGCAAACGGTGACAGCTGGAGATTGATTCTTTTCTAGTTAAATAAGCAATTGGACGCGCCATTGTTTGTTGCTCACTAAAAATATAAGATTCTGTCTTTTATACTATAACGAGTGCGTAAAACGAACAATTGTGTAAGAAAGGCGTGATACAAAAAAATGATTCAAGGATAAAAGTAATTACGATCATTTTTCCGGAACATCAACCTTTTTCTTCATCGTTTACATGGACTCCATTTTTTTTTCAATATACTGCAAATTAGTTTAGTTAAATTCGGAATGAAAGAGGAATATGTGAACGGAAGCGTTTTATCTATCACAAAGTAAATGACAAACAGATAACAACAAGTCGTTCGGACGTAGATACCGTCGAGCCAATCGAGTTGCAACGATTGCGTGTTGGACTTAAAGAACGAGCCTGGGGAGTCCTGGGGTACGACAGGAGCCCACGGCGAAAATCAGTGACTTTGTGCTGCTTTGTGCCTGTTGTGCCATCGACTAGCTCGGTGTGTGGTATATGTGATTTCCCCTTGAACGAGAACTATTTCCACATTGTACATTTCAATTTGACCTATCAATAATTGAAAATATTGACCGTTTTAATGTGAATGCGAGTCTGATTTAACAACGTCCGTTGTTGCTTTCGAAAACGTCATGCCGGTAACGCCCTAAGACCGCAAGAATTAGTCATTTCACGGAATGTTGTAATGTTTAACAAGATTTAACGTAAGGAACAAAAAGATCGGTTTCAGTAAAAACATCGACGAGAAAATGGACAGCAAAGGCAGAAAGATCATTGTTTGCGATAATGGAACAGGGGTAAGGTTATATGGTTTCACCCCCTACCTGTGACTTCTTGCTTCTTCTTTTCAGTTTCATTTGTTAATACTTTACCTAACAGAAGTTATTTAATAAGCATTTTAGAACCAACGATTCATAGCCAAGAATCTATATACAGATTTTTCATTTTCAATGCCAATTAAAATCATGAAGCAACAAAACTACTTACTCGAGCAATGTAACGTAACAACTGGACTATGAATTTTTATGTACACAAGCATTTTTATGGATTAATTTATGCAGACTAGAACCAAAGAAAAATTTGTTTATTCTGTTAATGATTCTATCAGGTTCCAAGTAAAATAAAACCTCATAAACATGTTAAATATGTTGCTAGACTGAATTTAAAACACTCATGTATGCTGAATGCATAAAATCTGTAATGTAGTAATCACAGTTTCTTTTTAATTCTTAAATTAAGGAAATCAATCTAATATCAAAAGGTTCTTTGTCAATAATTACTGACAAAAAATATGTTAATATTTTCTGATATAAAAATGTTAACAATAGCCTATGATAAAATAATATTATGGTTGCAGTTTGTCAAATGTGGATATGCAGGAGCTAATTTTCCAGCACATATATTTCCATCAATGGTTGGACGTCCTATAATTAGAGCAGTTAATAAAATAGGAGACATCGATGTGAAGGTAGACTTTTTTCAGTTGTGATTGAAGGAACTACAATATTTGTCATAACTTCTGTTATCAATTGTTAATATAATTTGTGGACAAAATTTGTTGCTTTATACTTAGTATATATTTTTTGGATATTGCAAAAATATTGTGTAACTTTATTGAATAAGAGAAGCACTTTCAATAATGCACTTTGTGAGGAGACAAGTTCCTTTTTTTTTTAATTTTTACTGTTAAACTTAGAAGTATCTTATCACTGTAGGAAAATATTTGTAGTCAATAATCTTAAAGTAATATATTAATAATTCGCTTAATTTTCAGCAAGAATATTGTATTCGTGTAAGTCAATTCACATTACACTGTGTGCCTCAGTGTTTAAGTTTGATTGAACGTAACCCATGCATTTGTCCACTGATGTAAATAAAATTTAAATCTCTAATTCTTTTTACTAACAAATATCAGAATGGAGTGTACATGTTAAAAGTAAGATGGAAATTATTTTTAAAATTATTAGGACATATAATTTGATTAATTGAAATTATTATTTTTCATTTCAATTAACTGTGGTCAATTTGCTTACCACATTGTAAATTACTATTTTGTTATCTATGACTGAACACATAATGGATATAGAATATATAAAAAAAAAAGAATATCTACATAGCTGGTATTTATATTTTTGTGTGTGGATTTGTATTTATATTGTATTTTTAATAACTATCTAATATATTTATGTGCTTACACTTGCTCTCGTAGGATGTGTTTAACATGCCTGTAAGTTCCTTGCATTTTTTGAAGCTAATATGTACATTTGTTGGTACTACAACAGTGCTTAAAGAATTGAAATTTTTACTTGCATATCAATAGGATCTCTGTTGTCTTTGTACCTTATTTTTGTTTCTTATATATGTAACAATATTTAAATACTTGGTATGATATTGCCTAAGTGATAATGTGACCATTAAAACAAGAAGGGTAATCTACCTGTTAGTAATACATTTTTTCATAATAGGAATTAAAAGACAAAAGTTATTTTTTATGAAGATGGGAATACTTTGTGATCATCTTCCTAATTACCTATATTCTAAGTTACTCAAGCTATAAGATTTTAGAATGGTTTGTTAAATAATGTGAAAACTAACAATTTATTTTTATTGAATATATATATATATATATATATACATATATATGTATACAGGACATACAGTTATGTTTAAGTCATTACAATTCACTATCACAGGATTTAATGGTTGGAGATGAGGCAAGCAAACTTCGGTCTATGTTAGAAATTAGTTATCCAATGCAAAATGGAATTGTTAGGTGTGTATGCAAATATATCTGATTCGACTGTATTTCGAGTTATTAAATTGTTAAAATACCTAACAGAAATTGGGAGGACATGTGTCATGTTTGGGACTACACGTTCGGAAAAGAGAAAATGAACATCAATCCTCGAGAATGTAAGATCTTGTTAACAGAACCACCAATGAATCCTATCACAAACAGAGAGAAAATGATTGAGGTAAAATACAATTGTGAATATAAACTTTCATTATAAAAATTTCTGTTAAAAATTAACCGTGAATCTTACGAAATGATTTTAGGTAATGTTTGAAAAATATGGTTTCGCTGGAGCGTATATTGCAATTCAAGCGGTACTCACATTATATGCTCAAGGGTTGATTAGCGGTGTCGTAGTAGATTCCGGGGACGGAGTTACCCATATTTGTCCTGTTTTTGAGGAATATGCTTTAACTCATCTTACTCGGCGGTTAGATATAGCTGGCAGAGATATCACAATGTATTTAATAAAACTTCTTTTGTTACGTGGTTACGCATTTAATCATTCGGCTGATTTTGAGACAGTTAGAATGTTGAAAGAAAAATTATGTTATATTGGATATAATATTGAAACTGAGGAAAAGCTAGCACTTGAGACAACAGTCTTAGTTGAGTCCTATACTGTACGTAAAATTTTTTATACATATAGGAGACATAGGTGTATGTTTTATTAACTTCTAAATTTTTTAGCTTCCCGATGGAAGAGTAATAAAAGTAGGTGGTGAAAGATTTGCGGCACCTGAGGCATTATTCCAACCGTATTTAATAAATGTTGAAGCTCAAGGAATAGCTGAATTAGTATTTAGTACTATTCAAGCGGCTGATATCGATATAAGGAGTGAATTATATAAACATATTGTTTTAAGTGGTGGTAGCACAATGTATCCAGGTCTTCCATCTAGACTTGAAAGAGAAATCAAGCAGCTTTATCTACAAAGAGTATTAAAGAACGATACCTCAAAGTTAAATGTAATTACAATACATTTACTTTTATTTCAATTTCATTCTGTTGTACATTCTTTAATATGTTTTCAGAAATTTAAAATAAAAATTGAAGACTCTCCTAGGCGTAAAGATATGGTTTTTATGGGTGGTGCTGTCTTAGCAGAGATAACGAAGGATCGTGACTCAGTGTGGATAACGAAGGAAGAATACGAAGAAAAAGGTCTTAGTGTATTAAAAAAATTAGGCTCCTATGAATAATATAGAAACTAGAAATTGAAATATAGAAAAGAAATACACATTTTTTTACATTTAACAGCATTTGAAAAGTAAATACAGTTTTTTTTTCATATATTGCTTTCACAACTGATTTATACAAAATTATTTGTCTTAAACACATGCAACCGATAAACATATTTTTTTTAAATATTACAATTTTTTATTGAAACTAATTCCATTTTACATTTACTAATGTACAGCTGTATTACTTTCGCAATCGATATAAATGGATTCAAATTGCAACAATGTTTTGGAGTAAGGTATACATTTATGTTTGCCATGATGCATAGCAAATTTATAAAAGATATACATTGTAAATATAACTGTCAGAAATAATTCCCTTCCTATCGAATTAAAATACAGTTTAACTGTCCATAGGTACACATTATGCATTGCAATCAATGTATATCCACTTTTCTTAGTTTATACTGGTTTTACGAAGATTCAATGTGTTGTATGTATAATTACACTAGACTATGATTTGTTAATATAATGGCTAAAATTAACTAATTAAATTTGTAAATATTACATTATAATAGCAGCATTAAATTTTAATGTGTTTTACATGTAAAATAGAGAACTGTATTGTAATATTTTATGGGAAGACTAAAAATAATTATCGAACTACATTGTTTGTTCTGAGGTTCTTATAACATTATTCTCCTGTTGAATTTATGATAATATTTTTAAACATACATAAATATCAGATCTTCAATTTTGGCCATTATTGTAATTCATAATAACTAGCTTCTAAGAAGACAAAACGCATTTATATACCTCTATATCCTCCTTTAATAACTGGACGATTCTGTTCTAATGAAACTGATCACATATTTAAGAATTATATTTGAAAACGTGTAGTACATTTAAACAATTTAAAGTTGTCAAAACACAATGCAAGTTTCAATCAATTCGTGTCAAATAGAGGGTACGAGGTAAAAGTATTTTGTACGGTGTACATACAGGATATAGAATAATTTTATAATTTTAGTTAAATAATTTATAGAAATAAATTTATTTCTTACGAAAAATCTCACTAATTCACTCTGATACCCTGTACATATTAAATCATTCAGATTGTATCAATCTTTCCTAAGCAATATAGTTAAGCCATGAATTCGAAATAAGAATCGCGTGTAAATATGTGAAAATCGAAGTATTATTTTACCATCGCGGTTTATGACTGAACTTTGGATCAGTGTAAAGGATACAATGCGATTAAGACAAATCTACAACAGTCTTTATTATGTTTCTCCATTTGACCTTTATATTGTGTATCAATGTACACTTTATGTATAAATAAAAATAACAATATAATTTGTATTATACAGTTTCGTATTTAATTGGATATATAATATAACAATAGATAAATGTGTATGTAATCGATTTTTTAAGATTTGTACAAGTGGCTTGCGACAGCATTCTGTATAACAATAAAATAACAAGCTGTTATTCAAAGAAGTAAATATAATTTATAAACAGTGCTTTAGCGCGTGTGTTCCACGTTACAAAGTTTATCTTCGAAGTGTATACAATGTTTCTTTTTTACGCTTTAATAAATCACTTTCAATGTAACAGTTTATATTGTGTTCCACTAAGCTTTATATATCGATCTTATTAAGCAAATAAAAAAAAATAGTATACAAAACACTTTCATTTATACTGGGAGAGTTTTTCTTTCCAAATTTCTATATTGTGTAACTTCTGATTTTTGTCTTCGACATATTAATACATCGAAAGCGTGGAAACGCTTCGACGCAGTAAATCAATAATTGGATGGAAAATATGAGATATCTGTCAATTACATTTAAAATGTAATTGGTTTATCTTTACATTGATCAATACAAAAACTAGTAAAACGTTTAAGGAACTTCGGATACTCCCTTTTGTAAACAGCACGTAAGACAGCTGCTGGAGCCCATCCACCAGGATTAACTGTAATCAACAGATAAGAGTATTATGAGTATAATAAATTATAGACATGCGGGTATGCAGAGTTAAATTAAAAGCGAAGAAGTAAGATGTTATACCAACCAACGGAACAGTAGGTTATTTTGCACGTGATATTATCTCTTTTTATTTCTTCTTCATCTTTCGGAGGATCAATGAAGGTTTGACACACAAGACAAACAGTTAGATAAACTCTTACGCATTTTCCCGTGTTAGGCTGCAAAGAAAAACGTTAACTATAGGCCAATTATTAATTATAAATCAAATGTGTTTTAAGCATATTCGAAACGTACAGGATAATCAGTATGTTCCGTACTATGGTTACAAACTATCCATAAATCATGTCCATCCGGATCTTGATCATCAGATACTCTACGCATGTGCGACCAGAATAGCGCGTCTCTTTGACTTGCTGGCCAAATTCGTTTATGTGTTTGTAGAAATACTAAAGTATCTTTGGAAATGTTTTCGATTACAGTCATATCTTCAAGGGTTGCTTCCCATCCTGTTCTATATTCAGGACTGAAGAATATCTCGCAAACTTCATGACCGGTAACTCCTTTTACGACATGGCATGCTTTCAGAGGATCTACCACTAAACCATCCGCCTCTTCTTCACGTCTGTACATTCGCATATCACCGTCTTCGGCAAACAATTGCCATCCTCCAGCTCCTACTCCAAGTCGTGCATAATGCAATTGTTGCATTGTTATTTTCTCTATCTAAAACGCACGTGACGAATACATGAAAAATATAGAATTTTACTGTAATGTAAACACAACCACTGTAAAAATAAGATAAGTACCTCCGGCCAAAGTCTGTGTTTGGCGGCTGACATGGTAGGAGTAGTTAAAATTGAAACTGACTTTTGTTTCAAACGATCTCGCAATTGATTTTCCTCGTCAATTTTATCTAATCCAGTCTCTACTGCATCATAAAACTCTTCATCACAGAGAGCACTATGTGGACCTTCCTGGGAACATAAACAGTTTGGACTGAACTACAGAACCCAACTTTCTGTTTATATAGATATGTAAAAGTCAGCATATTGGAATCAATTAGATAAGTAGTAGTCACTCACTACTTATCTACATCAATTAGATAAGTAATGGTTACTCACACTACATATTACTATCTTGTAGTTCATTTTAAATTAAACAGCTTTATCAATTTCTGGTTCAACTGAGAACTTCCAAGAATTGTGTTAAAAATTGTTTGCTTAAATCTGTTTTTATCCGAATTTGATTTAACACGGTTTACAAGAAACTTAAGATTCTTTTTCTGCAAGATTTGTTTTGTTCTTATATAGTGCTATAGTATACTGTTATATAAAAAATTAATATAACGTTACTACATAACATTTCTTTTAGATCTTTTAAGTGCTTCTGACTTTTACATACACTATTAATTTATATATTCAAACCTCATAATCTGGACCTCCATGAATAAGAACCCTAGGTCTTGGAGAACCAGTTTGTTGCGTTGCAACTTGATCTTTCAGAGCTTTGTAAAGTTCCTGTACTTTTCGTTTTCTCTCAACTTCTTTTTCCCATCTACGACGCCATGCGTCTTCTCGTTGTACCATTAATTCAACACAATGTTGCAATGTTGCTAACACACCTTCACTGGTTGCTTTAAATGTTATTGCTTCCCCCTTAAAATCTACTGCTTGTTCAGCTGGATCAAACATTGTCTCAGCTTTATTTTCTGAAATACATAATAGCTTTATTTTAATTCATATAAAGGGCACTATTTGTTAAATATGCAATTGGTTAGAAGAAAATTATAAAACATACGACTATGAAACAAATGAATGACTGGAAACAAAAATTATCAGCTGACATACCTTTCGTGGGAATATTCTTAGCATTCTCTGCACAATTGTCAAAATACTTTTGTAGAGTATCAATTTGTTTGATTAGAATATCCCTAAAGGTTTCAAGTTCTGCTAGCTTCTCTTTCAATCCTCTAACACCACGTTTAGTAAAGCTACCTGCACTTGTAACAGACTGTGTATTTGACACAAGTGAAATGGCACTACCATGACGTTTCAGACTGTTTTCACTTCCATAACCAGACTCTGACTGTTTTAAATGAATACACAGTTTTAATATGACGAGAGAAACATTTATTAGCCTTATCCATCCTGAAACTATAATACCTTATACGATTTTAAAACATCCACCCAGCGCTGTTTTTCTTCTGGACAGTTTGCTCTTAGATACCATACTAGGCAATCATTCACAGACACATCAAATCTACATTCATCGAATTCGTGTGCCTAACAAAACAAGTGGTAAAAAAATGATATCATGACACTTATCATGAAATAAACAGTACACATGTACATGTCCGATCTTAACACACTATTGAGCAGTTGTCTAAAATTGTAGTCATCCAAGAATAGATGTTTAGGACTCGTGGACGGTCTGTCTGCAGTAAAATTCTAGCAAATACGGACGTGACATAAACTTTGTGAACTTTATTAAAAGTATTTAATATTATTCGCAATTACAAACATAGAATAGTACTTTTGTAACATTTTTCCCTAAAATGGAAAGTGATGACACCGACTGAAAGCAGCAGTCTACGCGGAGAGTCGCCGGCCCGTAGACAGTAGTCTGTGCAAAAAATTGTCGCCCGATAGTGTGTTAATATATACATATCAGTTCCTACCTTAATGTTAGCTTTATACAAACTTATCGAACCACGACATCCAAATCCACTGTCCTGCTCAGATTTGTAATAAGATAAAGTACCATCTTTGAGAACAATAAATCTAGTTTGCCAGCCATGTATATAATTTGTCCATTTGGATAATGTACCCTGAAGCTCTGCAACTACAACCCCATCGGAACCTTCTTCATCTACATCATCGCCGTCTATCTCTGCTTCCAGACATTCGATATCCTCGTTGGCGAGACGAACCGTTTCAATTTCATCGGCCATTCTCACGAACGATTTTCACGGGTCTTGATGTTGATCGTTTCTTAGGATATACTCAACATACCCGAAGTAATATATATTTAGTTGCAGTTATTCGTCACGGACAAGTCTATCGTTGTTCAACTAATTGCTCGATTAATTGGTTTAAAATTTGCAAAGTAATCAATCAGCCAGCGACTGAACACGAACGATGTTTCAGAACATATCGATCATTGATTATCGTGCGCATAACCTTACGGGAAATGCGTTATTAAGTAAATCAGACATCAACTGCTTGTATTTTTTTCGCAAATAACAAGAATTAGTAGCAGATAGAAAATCAACAGTTTCACTCAAGCGGTATTTTCATGAACATTCCGTGTCCTCTAACTATGATCCCTGTTGATTGGTCATACTTTGATAAGTTGAACATTTTATACTTGTCACGGATGTTTATTGTATAAAACACTTCTATTTATACATACGAATCACTGTTCCACGTAAGAAGACATTGTACGTAATCTGTGATAATAATGGGAAAAAGTAACAACAGACGTGCAGTACTATGCTATGTTTTTTTTTACGGTAGAATCGAATAGATACAATTCGAGAATCGATTAGATGCATCGATAGTCATATCGAAAAATGCATTATGGTTTGAAAGCTATTTAGAGACCGCCAACTTTAGCGGATCATCGCAAGCACACGTGAGAGAATTGTAACTGGATTGGCAGTATCCAGTAAAACAATGACACTTTTGGCATTTTTCATTTTATTTTTTGTGGTGTCTGATGCTACAGTACATAGATTGAACGTGCCTAGAGTTTTATTACCTGTATTCAATGACTTCGCCGTGAATTTTACGCTTGAAGTTACCGATGGTGCTTGTTATCAATGGTAATCGTTGTTTGTTTTGTTACGTTAATCTGAATATTTTATGATACACTTGTGTAGAAGTTTTGTTTACAAGAAAATATCCTTGCTGACAACATTCTAACATGCAATTTTTATTTCGAATCACGTACAACTCTCTATATAACCCTAACCGTTTCATGTATTCAAGATTTATTTTCTAAATTCGTCTGAAAAAATGAATTAGTATAAGTGATATGACAATTGTATATTTTGATTCACCCCATATTCAAGTAAAGAATTCCAGTTATAGGGTACCAATGGAATTTATGTATTAATTTCAGGTCAACATCTCGCTTAGATATCATTCAGTTGATTCCTATAAATGAAAATGTTGAAAGGACTTGTTCCTCAGCTATTTTGATTCAAACAATAACAAGGGAATCTACAAGAAATACAGCAATAGTCTTGGCAGAAGATGTGAATACTGGTCAGTTTTTAAGATGTGATGTTATTGTGGATGCAATCTTTTCTTTAAACCTTGTCACAACCACAAGAGAATTATATATAGAAGAAGCACCAGAAGCATTTGAAGTGAGAGCCTATGATGAACAAGGTAAAAATCTTTGATATGAAACTTGTTTTTATTTTATTGTACTTATTAATTTATATTGTGGTATTTTAATAGGAAATGAATTTACAACTCTTGCTGGAGTTGAGTTCCATTGGAGTATAGATAATGCTGATAAACATATGTCGAACAGTAAAACCCCAAATGATGTTTTAAGGTTTATGACTTACGAAGAATCGCAATATGAAACACCTTCAACTGTTGCTGCTTTGGATGCGGCTGGTAAAAAGGGACATATTGGGCTGTTGGAGGGAATAAAAACTGGTACAGCAAAGGTATAAACATGCTGTATGTAACCATAGACATCGTTGTAAATTTTTCATAGGATAATAGAATATAGTTTTAATTATAGGTTTCAGTAAGACTACCATATCCAGAGTACAAGCATGTACCGCCCATAGAAGTAGAACTGATTGTAATAGCTAATTTAATTATTATTCCATCGGACATAACAGTAATGGCACATGATAGTTTCAAATATAAAATAATGCAAGTAAGCATTTCATGTGAAGGTATAATACATTTTACTAATAATATCTAGTCTACTAAAGATACAAATTTTTTATAGGCTCGACAAGGTCGTTTAGAAGAAATAACATTACCCTCCAGCCAGTACTATTTAGAAGCAGAAAGTCCAAGCATATTAGAAATTGACAATGACCATGACTGTGCATACGCTCGATCCCTAGGACGTACTAAAGTGTTTTTACACGATAAAAACGTCCGCGACGAATATCCTGTAATTTTACCATCTGCTGTAGTCAACGTGAATGATGTAGCATACATTACTCTTGCAGTTTTACCTAACAGAAATTGGGGTTTGATACTTGGCCATGTTCATGAAATCATAGTTGAATTGTATGATAACAAAGACCATAAATTTCATATTGGGGAAGGTGTAGAAGTGTCAATGAAGCTAGACGAACATTATTTTGAACCAAAATTAATAACACAAAATGGTACTTATATTGTTGGTGTGCCTATTACATGTGGAACAATGACTATTGAAGCTACACTTTATGGTATAATCGATAAACACGGTAAAAAGATTTCTCTCTTATCGCATCCTACTACAAGAGCTGAGCTTTTGATTCACACACCGGTCACTATCCAACCCAAAGTACTGGCTGTTCCATGGGATTTCAAGGCTAAGTCACGGTTAATTATTATTTGTATTAAGTTAATAATCTGTAATATCGGTAATCGTGACTATTTAAAACTCTGTTTTATTACAGATACGATATAGTATTAAAATCCAGTGGAGGGGATGGCTCGTATGTATGGTCGAGCAGACAGCCATCCATAGTAACAGTTTCTCAGAATGGGGGAATCAGAATTTTGGCAGCAGGAGCCACAGAAATAAGCGTTGCAATGACGAGAAATCAGTACAATAAAGATACAGCAAGGGTATACGTGCTACCACCTTCGAAGTTAAAAGTGGTAGAATACAATATGGAAGCAGCAGTGAAAGAACCAATTTATCTTCACATTGCATTATATGGGAAATTAATTAACGAAACTGACTCTAAAGAGATACCTTTCAGTGACTGTAGAGACATTACTTTTGAAACATACATTCCAGATGGTAATTTTTTGCGAAATGATAGTAAACTCATAGAACCTATTGGTATTGCATGCGCTGTTATAGCAGTTACAAGTATGGATGTTGGAACATCCGAAATAACAGTAGTGTATAACGCAAATGGTCAATATTTAACTGATAACATCACTGTATCGGCCTATGAGCCTTTAGTAGCAATACATCCAAGTAGTAAAGAAAGTTTATTATCTGTGGGCTCTTCGAGGAAAATAGTTTTCAAAGGTGGACCCTACCCATGGTCTAGTAAACCTCAAAGTTACTCACGAAAAGTTCAAGTGTCCGACAAAAAAATTGCCGAAGTAATAGAATATGAGGATTCATTGAGTGGATTGTATAAGGTATCAGTTTTCGAAGTAATGTGTAAAGCTCTTGGTGAGGTGATTGTAATGTATACTATCTCAAATGTTCCTCTATTGCAAAATTGCAAAAATACATTCGCAACCGAAACAGTACGAATTATTTGCGGTAAGCCTAGACATATTTACCTTCAGCCAGAATTTAAAGACAGCAAGAACTGCCCAATCAGTCTTAATACAGAAAGGGTAATGGCGCATAGCGACAAAAGTTTAAAGCTTATCACTATCATAAAAGATGAAGAAGGGAGAACTTTCGACAACATTACGAGTTTACACATTGACTGGAACTTAAAACCCTCATCCGTAGGTTCTGTGGAAATGTCTTCTGGTTCGATAGAGGAAACATTCACAGACATGAACGTGATTCTACCAAAGCATTACTATCAAAATGTTATTTTTAAGAAACATTCTGGTTCTCTTACGTTAACAGCTACGGTTACTGGTTACCAGAAGTATATATTGAGCAAGTTAAAAATTATACCTGAATGGCCACCCTTTGCGATTGAAACTGAAAGAAGAATCTACGAGACTCCGCGTATAGAAGCTTCAATAGAAATAGTTTTAGTTAACGACACTAGCATTAATCCAAACAAATTAATGGTATTGAATGATCCGAGTGCAAAATATTATTTACAAGTTAGTCAAGGTTCTGGTTACTATGAATTTGTATTGAGCGCGGATGACATCGCCGAAGTTCGTTATATAGAATCGACTAAAGCAATTAGCATTACTCCAAAGAAATCGGGAATACTTAACTTAGCCTTGGTAGATCTTTGCTTGCCATCGAAACCAGCTGAAGCTACAGTCGAAGTGCAACAACTTGCTGTAATAGAAACAGAAACGGTCAACAAAATTGAGAAAGGAAAGTGCATAGTGGCTGCGTTAAAACTTTATGACACGAACGGTCACATTATAAAATTGCCGTCTTTGAATGCGTTAGAATTCAAAGCAGAGATTGATAATGAATGTATAGAAATTAAAAAATTGCCTGCTACGGAACACGGTAATCCTCCTTACAGTCAACTGTTGTATATGATACATGGCATGGCAGAAGGAGAATCTCAATTAACTTTCGTAAGCAAAGGAGGCGACAAAGAGATACAAAGTGAATCAGCAATTATTCAAGTTTTCCTTCCTTTAAGAGTCTTTCCAAAGAACTTGACAATATTAGTTGGAACTATTTATCAAATCCAGACAACTGGAGGTCCGTCGAATGCAGAAATTGAATTCTCTACAAAGAGTAATGACATATTGAATATTGGTCGCAATGGTATATTCGAAGGGAAGTCAGTTGGCCAAACGCAGATAATTGTTAGAGCCGTTGGTCTTAATGCAAAAGGAAACAAAGTCATTTATTCCGAGGACTATGCTGACATACATGTGTTATACCTTGAAGGGATTAAAATTGCTGTTCCCACAAGTAGAGTGAAAGTGGGTGCAACATTCCCACTTTGGGCTTTTGGTATTCCAGAATATTTAACTCCACTCATCATAGGATCAATGCAATTGCCGTTAATCTTCATGTGGTCCTCCAGTGATTTGAACTTAATAACTTTGCACAATATGTACGAAGGAACTGGTATTAACATCAGATACCAGAATGAAGTGTCTTTGAGAGCTAAAGCCATTGGTCCTGGATTAGCAACAATTTATCTGAATGTTACAATGCCATGTAATATGTTAGCTGGATTTAAAAGCGACGTAACATTCGCTACTTTTGTAAAAGTTGAAATTTTCGAGGAGTTACGTTTAACGCATCCTGGGACACCGTCTAATGTACCAGTAATATTGATGTCTCCAAATTCTGTTCTGAAATTGCAAACGAACCGTGATAAACATGGTTCAACTACTTACAAAGTATTGTCGACCATGCATGGAAATGACTCTGAGGATACACATGCTTTAACTCCAGTGTCGAAAACTGTAACTATTGACAAAAACGGTGTCATAAGAGCTGGTGAAAATTGTGGGAAAGTAATCATTTCTATCACAAACACTGAAGCGTATAATTTGAAACAGTCAATAACTATTATCGTTGAAGTAAGATGTAATTTATGCTTCTTTTTAAATATAAAATCAATGTTGCGCGAAGACACTTTTACTCAAATTACTTCCTTTTTTTACAGGTCAAACCGATTCATTATATGATGTTATCATTAAAATCGATTTTACGTATTCGAAACGGGGAAGAATTAAACATGTTGCCGAAAGGAATGGAGCTGGACTATGCACTTGAATATTATGATAATGTTGGAACAAAATTTCACGCTGCCGAAGTTAATGCTAGGACTATACTAAACCGCGCTGATCTGGCTTCGTTTGCTATAAATACTGAAAATGTAGTTACTGCAAAATTCATTGAAAACGGAGATCTCGTTGTAAAGGCGTTTAACGAAAAATATCCTAATGGGATGTTTGATTATGTACACATGATGATCGGAGACATAGTCTTTCCTACAAAGGTTATAGAATACAATATTTCATAGAATATTCTAATACTTTTTACCTATCACAATATATTTGTTCTTTATTTTTACAGACAACATTGACTGTGGGTGATATAGTATGTTTCTCAATGCCACTTCTGTCTCCTGATGGTGACCCAGGTTACTGGCAATCTTCAGCTCCTGAAGTCTTAACAGTAGATCCTATTACAGGAATAGGGCGAGCAAAAAATGTAGGCTATGCAGTGGTAAAACACAGTCTTGCAACTCACATGCAAGGTGAAATAGAAGTGAATATCCAACCTATTGCTAAGGTATTATCAGTTTTTCGAATTTAAATTTTAGAGAATTTCCTATTTACGTTACAAATACTTTCATTTGATTGCTACAGGTGTCCATTGTGCCATTAAGAGGTCGAAATATCACAGGAACTGAAACATTCAGTGTTCCTCTTGTCCTTAAGAGTAAGGACGAGCAAGTTAAAGAGAATAATGTATTATCTAGAGGCTTGGGTGGTTGTAGAACATTTACTTCGTTTACTTTAAATTCATTTCCCTATACATGTAACATTCAGTTTGTTTCATCCACTTCATCCGTGGGAGTAAAAGACTTATTCCTTGTTAAACCACGATTCGATATCATGACTGGTTGGTATTTACATCTGAAGAGTGTGAAAGCGTTTAACATCAAATAATTACTTATGTATTTTTCTTGTAGGTTTTTATTATTGTGATGTAATACCTATGGGTTCTCCAAACATATTTTCCAGTACATTAGAAAGTCGCATTCAAATAAGTGCACAAAGCAAAGACATTGAAGCTGCACCTTTGGAAGTAGCATATCTTCCACCTGTCTACGTTGACACTAAAGAGATAGTTTTTATTAACACTCATTCTCAAACTATACCAACTGCAACGCTTGAAATATATGGTTTGCAGTCTGTATTGGATCATCTTACAGTAAGTTAGTTTTTCGTAAGGTGGAAGAATACATTTAAAAATACATCGATTAACGTTAACACTTTTTAGATTGATGTACCGGATGGAATGACCGTAAGTGCTCGACAGTATATTTCAAAGTCAACAATGCAGTATAAATTACGGTTGATGCATAATCAAGATGAAATTCAGGGTCAAAAAGTCATTGTTGCTAATGATGTCACAAAACAAAATATATCTGTAAGTGAATAAAAAATGAGTATTAAAATTACTAGTTTGTTGTAATAATCCATATTTCTTCTTTAGCTTTTTGTACGTGTTACAAAGTATGAAAATTTCATACCGTTGTCTGGAATTCATTGGGTGGATTATATGTATTTCCACCGTTACACTTTCGGGACGTTTGCGGTCATCGTAATAACTTGTTTCTACAGTACGTATTTTCTCAGTTTCAATTAAATTATGTTTAATTTTCCATATATATATTCTCCTCATATTTAATTTCTTTTTATTACTACAGTATGGAAAAATAAAATGGCAAACATTGACTTAAATATAAAGAATAGGACAGTTTTCGGTATGTATTTTATTGTTGAAAAATAATTAATGCAATTTTGGAAGATTATTCATATATGAATTCATATTAATGACATTAATCTTTCTTATAGCAGATAAATGTCCACCACATCGTAGTTTTTATTCGGCAAATAAGCAAAACAGATCAATGAATATCTAATTGAAAAACATTAAGAAACAATTTTGAATGTAAAGGTACCGTGTACTTATAACAGAATTATTAGGCATTTACTAGTTTCAACTTGAAACAAATATCTAATCGTCAGAAACTGGTGCCTTATTGCCATTGAAACTCATTTTTGTTAGGTAATTAATTCCTCATAGGGGTTAAGCATTTGTGTTAACTTTTTGAGCTGTAACATTGATCGATGTTAATTTACGGACATATAAGAATATGTACATTCTGTAATATAGAACTTTAAGTTATACAATTTTATACATTGATAGGAGAAATGATACAGGACTTTAATGCAGGTATATTTCTAGGATGCATTTATTATTTTTTCTTTATAAATTTGAGGTATATGGTTCCTAGTCATATAGCTGATAATTTACATAATTACAATAGTATAAATTTAATTACATGCTGCACATGATCTCGTGTAACAGTGCAAAGGTAATAACCATGTATCCCTTTTTTCATTGCGCAACTTTGTAGGTGTATTTGTTTTTTTTTGTATTCACAGCCACAGCAGTCTACGATTTATGTAATAATCCTATGTATCACACTACATTGTAATTTTTGTATCTTTTTAGTATAATTTGTCTCAGTTTAAGTTTAAATAATTTTTCAAATATTTTTTTACAAATATGAACACAGTGTAAACATATAACTTCCATTTACATATTAAGTTAGAAATACATAATATTGTCTAAGTATATGGTTATATGATCAACATGTACTATACAATGTAAAAATTAAAAGGTTTTGTAGTACTTCTTAGTAATTTACATATTCTTGTCTCAACTTACTGAGTGTTTCAGGGTTTCAAAACAATGACAGATATAAATTCTTTATAAATAATGTTTATTATAAAATTAGATGTACACGATGAGACAGTCAGGTTTTTTTACAACTGTGTGGAAAAGCAATCTCTTTCAAATGACTTAGTATGGATTGATACAATTAATGTTTCTTTAATGTTTTAAGTAACTTCTCATATTTACTTTTACTAGAGTACCACAATGCAAAAGGAATAGCCAATGAAGGTAAAGTCATCACAGCAAATGCAGCCCAATCAATCTAGAAAAAAAATGTTTCAATGTATTATTTATATTCACAGTGCTATTTATATTTATTTAAAACTGTATGGTTACTTACCACATGAGAAGAAAATTGTTTATCATAATCCCTAAATGATACAATAATTGCTTCACCAGGCTCACTGCTGACAGCAAATTGCAACCTGGGAGCATCTTCCTTAGCTCTATATAAAATTTCTGCAGATGTGAAATTGAAATATCCATACTTTCGTGGCCTCACAACAACGGTGTGAGTAACATTTGTATAAGGTGGGACACGATCTATCCTTGCATTCAATTCACCACTCACATGAGTGAAGTGATCAGGATGGAAAGAGTTGTCTGTAATTTCAACTTCTAATGCAGCAGAATTTCCAACATTGTAAACTGTGTACTATAAATGAAAAATGTATGTTAAAGTACAGCTATCAAGTATTACTAAAACTGTACAGAAGAAATTTTCATACTCACTTTGATTACAATATCCATATTCTCAACAAGGTATTTATTAAGTAGTTGTTTGGATACTAATAACCTTGCAGCTTCTTCTTCTTCCTCTGCATGTATAGTGAGGATTAAAGCAGCATAAGCTGCGAATATTATGTGCCACTTCATGCTGAAACATTAAAATAAACTTTCAAACAAAATATTATACAGAAAATTTAATTGATTAGAAAAGTGACGATAATATGTCAGTTTCAACTTATGTTATGACAATATCGATACAATACTAATACCAGCTACAATTGTACATGAATTTACTAAACAGATTTGTACCATTAGACGAGTTAATAACTTTATGTAAATAATATTCAAAATCGTACACATTTTATTCAGGAAAAGCCGCTAATCGATGTTGTTCAGAAAAGTCAAATACTCTGTCGATTCATTACTTAAACGTCTCAACTAAAAATTCAAATTCACTTGAAAACTACTTCATACAATCTTAACCGAAGTTCCACAGTTAGCATATTGGTTTTACTTTTATTTTTTATTCAATAATTTTGTGGTATTACCTTGCCATACGACGGAACTCGTGCCACTTGCGACTCTTGCGACAACGAAACAATCACACCATAGGAAGAGCTGGAAGATACATTTGAGAGAAGTGCCAACAGCACACACTTTGCTGCCACGTTTCGATGAGGGAAAACACCGTTGTGTAGACCATCTACTTCCGGTAATGGGTTTTTAATAAAATGGCGGTGAAAACAAATTGATCCATCGTTGAATGTTTGTGAAAATTTGAATGATAAAGAAGGAAAGATTTAATGAATTTACTGACACTATGAGCTATAAATCTTAACAAGGTCTGACAATTGTTTCGAGTGCATCGTAAGGATATCACGATACATACCCGACGATTAATTGAATTTTTTTATTGTATTCGTACCTTTTGCATTGTTTGTCTATTTATATAATCGTATGAACTAATATTGTTGTTATCATAATACTCCAAATAATGGCCGCGAAAGTATATCAATCAGATCAAGAATTGGAAACAAGAGTTAAAAAAGGTTAGGATGTCCTTAAATAGATATAATCTTTTTATTATTACAGGCGGCTAATTTAATGTCTAATTATTTATTGACATGTCTTTTGTCTTTTCTCTAGCAACTGAACGCATATCCGAGAACATGCACATAGTTGCAAATGAACCGTCTCTTGCATTTTATAGACTTCAAGAGCACGTAAGAAAGGCATTGCCACCTATGGTGGAGAAACGGGTGGAAGTATTGGCTCTTCAACAACAACTTTTAGGTAGATGTTATGATGTGGAGTATGCTGTTAGCGCTATTAAAACCATGCACGGTGCTGGAAAAAGTTTTGAAAATACTTTGGAATTCATAAAAAATGCCATATTCTTTAAACAACAATTAAAGTATGAGGAACAACGTAGACATAAAAAAGACAGTAACAGAGATTCGGTGTACAAAAGATTATCTGCACACATTCCAACCTTGGATCACTTGCCAGATGAAATATCTGATGTTGTAAGAGAAACTGCTAACAGAGTAGAATCTATGATGAACCATGCAAGGCACTCCAGTGAAACACAAAAATCAAATTAAAGTGAAAGAAACAATTTGTTATTTGAAATTCAAATTATAATATCATTATAAAATGCAGACATGGATACTATAAACAATATATGGGAAGAATAATTTATCTACAATTGCAGAAGTATTATATGAAATATGTATTAGTAAATTAATGTTATTATTCATTTACTCCAGATACTGATTACTTTATAGAGTTGAATGATTAAATATCTTTTATGCATTATGTACACATTTTTTCATTGTATGTTTCAGTTTCATGTTACATGTGACAATGTTTTGTGTTGCACTGAAAGATCATGAAGTTATCTGAATTATACTTTCTGTATATAATTTTGTATACGCATTTTTATTCATTTATAATGAATAAAAACATCTTTATTAAGTAAATGAGTGGAGATAAATTTTATGGATATTCATTGATTCTTTATTTTTATTACACAAGGGACTTATCTTGTAAGTCCGCTTAAATGAAAAGTAGTTCGCGTGGTATGTTTCAGATGTCGTTCAATTCGCATTAGAGAGTGCAGTATACTGTCAAAGGAGATGGTGTGCATAATGTTAATTAATACGTGAAGTTGTGATGGAAAGAGCAGGACACGATAGGTTGATGTGCAGAATCTCGAAGGATGATATCCGTCTGAAATATACTCAAATTATCTTCGGACAAGTTTTACGGTACGTTCATTATTCGGCATTATAGCCCTTCGTAGGTTATGCTCGTGTTTCGTGTTTGCATAACTTCATTTACTTATTCAAGTTCTTGCAGTTTATGAATGTTTAACCCTGTAATAGCAGTTGTTTCTGTAAAGTTGACATTAGCATCATATTGTCTCAATACACAGAAACGTTTGAAGCCTTACTTGCATAAAAGAAAACATTTTTTCATTTTAACACTATGTAGGACACTTTGCAGAATAGCACACATTTCATTCGCTGTCCTGTTACCGTTATTAACGTTAAAGAATCGTAATGACAACACGTTCATAATCTACAAACAAAGAATAAGTCTAATTACAATAAAAAATTCTGCATTTTTTCTGTTATTATAATACTACAGATACACATAGTTGCTTGTAGAATTAAATGCCATTTTAATTTGAAAATTAAATTTTTCTTTACGATAGAGGTTATTGTAAATCTATTTGTGTCAGTTATCTAACGTTCTCAAAATTGTTAAAGCTAATGGAAAAATAGGGATAAAATATTTATGAATATTAAGCAGTTTCTTGTACATTTTTTATTCGTGTACGCGCGTACTAGTGCTTTTGCCGTTTGATCGTGAGAAAGACGATTGTAAATCTTACCGTTAAACATATTATGAATTTTCCATCTATAGACGGGGAATATTCATGCAGATTATACGGACATGGCGGAATGAGTATGCCACGCGCGTTTCTCGAGAGAAACCGCGCAAATACTTTGCGTTTATAAAGTCATGCGTGCCGTGTCCCGCGTGGACTTTAAATTATTCTTACCAAAGAGACAACAAACCGCATGTGAGCAGCGATTCTCGAGTCAATTGTACGGAACTTTGATTTTCTTCGAGCAGCAACACCGCCTAACACTTACATTTCATTCATTTTATCGTTCAACACGAAGGAAAGATTACGTGTCGGAGATCGTTTGACATCTCACAAGGACGACAGCCGCCATTTTGGTCCCCGCATATTTTTGTCGTTGCGTGCGTATCGTTTTCCAATAATTCATCTCGTCTGTTAGGACAATTTTCTTTTATGTACGCACATTCGAGGCCTAGAACCAGCGTTGCACAGTTTTCCTTTTGTTTTTTTTTCATCAAGTCCTGCAAGATATTGTAGAACCTACACGGTTGTGCGTTCTTTAGTATTTCCGAATCACGAAGTCTGATCAGGTCCTTTTGAATCTTAAACTTGTCCGTCGCACAATATTTGCCTGATTTTGGTTATCACTCATTTGTAAATTCACGTGGCACAGATAATGAACCATGATCTGCAAAAAACAAAGCGAAGTAATTTTAAAGGACTTTGCTTTTCGATATTGCACGGAAGTATTCGTATTCGCGGTATTAATATTCGCTGGGGTGTTCGAGGAAAGACTGGAGGAAAGATTTTGCTCGTCGTGCACCGTTCGAATCGATCGATCGTGATTACGATCACGTAAGGACAGGCCGAGCGCCGAATTCACGCGAGATTCGTCGCGCGCGATTACGTCGACGGACGGGAACTTCCTCGAAACGAGGCTGTCCGTTTCCGTTGTATTTAAAATAGTTCCGGGAAGGGTGAACTACGCTGGAAGCCAGCTGCAAAGTGATTCCGACTAAAAAGTTCCAATTTTAATACGCGCCACGGTGTTCTGTAATTGTTTCGTGACTTTCGAGACTGCTCGAAATGAATGTTCATCGGAACACGTGTTTGTTCTTAAGTTAGTTCCGATATTGAAACCTTTGCTGGAGGGTGCACTGGTACTGGAGGAGTTATAGTATAGGCATTGGGACAAAGGAAATTCGCGAAAAATGGGGTATACAAGTTTTTCGGGCCTCGAACGGTCTAAAAGTCTAAACACTCTAAACAGTATCGGAGTTTATGTTTTCACGGTTTCAATTCAACATTAATGGTTACTTAAGTATCGTAAGAGACTCTGACATTGGAAATGCTAATTATAAAGATTACGGTTATCCTGTCAGCAATAAAATTACAGATAATTAGATAACTTCTTTTGAGCCTTATGACTACAAAAAAATGCGTTTATAAATTATTCTGTACGGCCACATTAGATCGTTTCCAGTGATTATATCAAGAAACAAAGACGTTGACTTTTGATCCAATAAGAAATGTGAATTGAATATCCTTAAAAAACAGTTACGTTCGAATTTTATAGGCGCACTTTGAGTTTATAACAATGACTCGGCCGGTGTCCCTGTTTCGAGGACACTCTGTGTGGATCCATTAACAGTTTTATTTACATTTTTCACATAACAAAGTGGCCACAAGTTCTATCCGAGAATAGGAACGAGCGTGGGTGGTTCACCGGTCTTTTCGCCGCTATTTTCCGAAATTTCTTGAACCACAAGCATCCACGAAGTACGAGTCGTATCGCTCATTGTGTACAGTCGACTTTCAAATTCGTCAGACATTGAAAAGCATCTTGCGAAGTAACGTTTAACTGCATTCCGGTTTTCCTAACGCTCTGTTCGAATTGCGAAAGGTACATTGCCAACGGGTGTAACGGTCAGCCATTACTCGCCGATCGTGCATGTTCCGTTTTACCATCGCCGATGACCGGTACGTGAAAAATGTGCTTTCAGTCGAAACATTATCATTGGATACATCGACCGTTTCACGAGCGTCTGGAAGACGATCCGCTATTTGTAAATATATACATCTCTTAGCAAATACCGTAACCTCGAAGTGTTTGCCCGATTCCTCGCGGTACTTTTAATGTTTCTTGACAATAAATCATTGTTACTTTCGAGCACTTCGATTTCCACCATCTGTAGAGACCAAAAGCTGTCGGCGTCGGTGAGTGGTCCGCGGAGTAAGAAGATCCATTGGATCTACCGTGACGGAGTGTAGAGTAACGATCGCCGGTCGGGTATGTTGAGACATTGAAATGCAATACCGATAGCCACCACTTAATGCAATATCGAATCGTTTCTCTGACGAATATTCGTTTAATTTACTCACGATTCGCGTCACTGAATCGATTATTAATTGTAAGCGAATTAACGTTCTGACTGCGTGTTCACACTCGAGTGGAGGATACAATGTCCACGTGCCGTTGGCAGAAATCGTGAACCGGAATAGGAAGATTTCTGTTAGAAATTGAAACAGCGAATAATACCGAAACGCTAAATTTGCTCCGACCTGTTGGTTCTCCCATCAGCGAAATGGGACCAAAGGGTTAATATCCCTGGGCCACAAGAAATCTTGATCGTGGGCCTGAACACAGTTAGATAAACTGATTCATTCATCCGCCTTTGGTCCCGTAATTCAAAGACCATGTGGTTCACGCGCGCTTTCATGGAGCGAGAGAGAGAGACAACACGGTTCACAGAGCCTGCAGGATCTCTGTCCCCCCCCCCCTCCTTTCCCCTCTCGATGACAATCGTGCACAAAATCACGCGAATTCAGGTGGCCTCTAGCTCGCGGTCAGTTGACGTAACAATTTGATCGGTTAATCTCTCTCGATCGTGCTTGCAACGAAACATCATCATCTCGTCGAAACGAAAAAGAATTCTCGGCTTTCGAACGACCGGGGGCTGCCGCCGACGGATAAACAGAGGACACTTCGCCCGTGAAAGGAGAAAGAGCGAGCGAGACGGAGGGAGGCGAGGACTGTCGAGCGGGTACGAAAAAAGACGATCGTATTCTCCCAAAGGGTCGATCGGCCCGTTCGCGCAGTTTCGTTAGTCGGTGGGCACCGTGTTGTCGGTGTGTTGCTGCGTGTCATTTTTCGGTTTCGACTCTTTTTTTCCTTTTTTTGCTTTTCAAATCGAGGTATAGACAGTTGTGACCTGTGGTATAGAATATACATATATAAATACATCTGAGATAATAAGAACACTATCGTTCCTACCGTTTTTTTTCTTTGGTATTTCGGTTTTCTTAAAAATTCTTGATTCGAAAGCGTGTATTGGTATTTCTCACCGTCATGTGAACAGGTTTTCACCGTATTATCTTCTGTATATTCGAGATATTCGTTTCGTTCAAATAAATGTTGAGAGAAGAGAGGAACGACGGTTCGAATAGACGCGATACGTGACCACGTGCGCGCAGAACACCCGCACGTCAAGAGTCTTCGACGGAGCCTCTCCCGCCTACCGTCTGCGCAACACCTGTTTGCAAGGTACGCTCGAACGCATTTCGTTTGCCGCTAATATGTATCTACGGTATAATTAAAAACAAGCCAACGAGCAGTGTTGTTGTTGTGTTGGTGTTATCTACGTATAATGCACCGGTGCGCGCGTCACCTCTCGATTGAGTCATTGGTTAACCCTCATACGCTCCTCGGGTGAAAATTCACCCATTTTCTATTTCCAAATGCTGTAATATGCTTGATTTAGTTGATGAACTTGATAGAGTTGTATGTAAAACACAAGTAGTTAACGTTTCACTTATAACAAGAATGTTGTAAAAAAGAGAGTAACGGAAAATTTCCTTGGGTAATATTTCACCCGGATCTGTTCACTTATAAAATACATTAAATACTCTGGTGAAAAGAAATTATTACATAGTGCTTTTTATGCACATGTTTTTATTTTGTAAGAATTATATTTATATTGTAAAATTTTGTCATATGATCATTCGATATGTAAAGATATCATTGGGTATAAAATTTTCGTTTCGAAAATTTCGCTTCAGTAGCAATACTGTCACAGACCTATACCGTGGTTATAAGTGGTTTTCGCAATTTGAGATAAAAATGCTATTTATATATGTAATAATTGCAAAATGTAAGGAATAGGTTAACAAATGTGACTAACTTTTTATGAAATACAGTATAATATGTTAATAATAACATTAATTGGAGTATAAAGAAAAAAATGGGTGAAATATCGCCCGAGGGTCTTTTATGCAGAGTTAGTAAGAATTTTATTCGAATAATACACAGTGAAAAGCAGCAGTATCTAAGTGTGTCGTTCTGAGCTTTAAACAGTCGATGAGATTAAATAATTGTTCGACGAATTGTCGATTCATTCGTAAAGAAGTATTATTTAATTATAAGAATGGAAATTTCCACGTTTAAACAATTAAAAATGTCGAAATACTTTTATCTTTTATTCGTTATTCGAAACTTTTTATCTAGATAATGAGTTTGTCCATCTTCTGCTTTTATGTTACTATTTTCGAGGAACGTATTAGGGTTAAATGGGGCTTGAAATACTTTTATCTTTTATTCGTTATTCGAAACTTTTTATCTAGATAATGAGTTTGCCCATCTTCTGCTTTTATGTTACTATTTTCGAGGAACGTATTAGGGTTAAATGGGGCCTCGCCGAAAACGCACGGTTCATCCTTTCGACTTTCGTCGTTGGGCAAACTTTCTTGCATCGTATTGACACGTTTTTCCTAGCGGCTGTTTCGAATTTTCTCGCTCTAACGGTGAGCCCGCGTAATTTTATTTTCACTCCTAACTGTTATACTACCTCGGCCCCGTCTCGAGTTACAATAATCGGTTCAGCTTTCATTGCTTTTTCTTCTGTTTCAATATGAAATTCCAGTCATTCGTTGTTTCCCCAGACGAGGAGAGATTCGGGTAAACACCGTTACCTACGTAGCTTGTGTACACTGACCCCTAAGAACCTCTGGATCACCGGATCGATCTTCCGACGAACGGAAGCAGTCTTTCAAATACGCAAGTGGCTTCTCTGGACCTCTCGCGCCGGTTTCTTAAGAATACCCGTGTTTCGGGTCACAACTCCGTTTTATGTAAACATAAGGTGGAGTGTATTTCCGAAGTCTTTGAACGATTCTGTATATTGCAGTTCGGTTGTAGGATCGCAAAAGGGGAACACCTCGATGCATTTTTCCCGGTGGTGAACTGCGACATAACGGGCCAGTGAATATAGGCAAATTCACTTATCTAGGTGACGAAGTTTCGAACGGACGGATATCAGATAAGAAACGATATATGCCCGTATTACATGGAACAAACGCCCTGAATAGTAATGTCTTTTTTTACAATGTATACAGTTTTTCCTGACCAAGCAAATGAATTAGATATCTATTTAGGATACTCTTTCCTACTCTATTTCTCGTATCAACGTGAAACTCGCAGGTGTTATAATTGCAAATATGATAAATCTTATCGGTGTGACTGTTAGTCCTTGTAGAATAAATCGTTTTAGACCGTTCTAGACGTTATAAATTATACCTTTTCTTTTCTTTCGTTTTCTCGAAGTATTGTAACATTCGATCTATCGAGAAACTCGTTGCAAACCCATTGGAGAACATCGCACAGATACTTGAGGGACGACGAACTAGGATAAAGCGTGTTCGTCACGTATACATATACGCGAGAAAGCCGCGCCCCGAAACATCTTCTACGTTCAGGGAAGTGAGCGTCTGTTAAAAATTTCAAGGTCGCCGTCCTGATTCCGAAAGAAATCCTCCCGTGGAATATACATATATTCATAGATCTACCGCGTTGGAATGGAATAAATGTGGATAGAAGCACCGATATTCGTGAACAGAATGGAATATCCAATCTTTAGACCGATACGAATAAAAATCCTCGCCGAAGTCATTGGGTCATTGATATAATTCCAAATTCTTCGTCTTCGTGAAAATATACGCGTTACTGGCCACTGATTCGATTCCAGGTTCCGTTGTACATCTGTACTTTCTATCTGTTTCACGAAGAAGGAAAAAAATTGCTCCCATGGCTTTCACGTTGTTTCACATTTGCACTCTGCGTTCAATTCGACGACGCCCGTGCAGAAGAAATTGAACGCATTGTGAACGGATGCGAAATTGCGCTATATCGGGGATTCGTTCTGGAAAAGCTCGATTGTTCGACGTATATCATTAATTTCGTCGCTGATCGGCAGCGAGAACCTCGATGATCAGCCCCGGTTATTCTCGGTTCGCCACGGGTCCGGGGAATCCGTTGGGGGCATTTATACAACAAATATACAACCCGCCGATACTTTATTTTCGATCGTGACCAGCTTTCGTGGAGTAGCCACCAAACAAACCGTGCACGAACACGTCACAGGCCTGGCTGACGTTCGAGAGTAGGCTCGTAGAATTCAAAGTCGCCGATTTATGCTTCCATCGAGTCCTGACCAGTCGCTTCTTAACCCTTTCAAGGTATAAACTAGGAACAACTGTGATTTTTCATTGGACAGTGTGCGCAATCCGGACTGGAATTGTTTTTTCTCCGTTCCAAATTTAAGTTACGCGAATTTTTGTTTACAGTTACCGTAACCCTGGCCGTACGAAAGATACCTAGCATTTCTGAACGGTAAACGGTGGGAAGTTAAAACTGTGTTCATTAATAATACAGGGTGAATGGAAACAAGAGTTCATGACTCCCAGGGTAGATAGTACTCGCGAAATGATAAAAAGAAGCCCTAGTAAACGTGGAACGAAAAATTAATATTTTCAAAGTTGTAAATAACTTATATTTTCGTTGGTAGTTCTAGCGTTAATATGCATTCCATATCGCGAAATTGCCGTGCAATCAGGCGCAAAAATGATCACCGACCGTTCACGCGGAATTATCCACGAGGGGGGAAAACCGTCGATGCTTTCCGGAAACAGTTCTTGTCGTTATTTGAATGACAATGCCCCGCGCGAAATAAAAGGTGGTAACGCTGCGCTTTCAGCGGCGGTTCCATTGAAAGTGAGAAGAGGTCAGTGGTCAGTCGAGTGCAGAAATGTTCTCTGGAACTCTTGGAAAGTTACCGACCTTGACAGACATTTCATTCTTCCAACTGGTATTCACCGTTCAATTAACCGACTTTAGTTTTTGCGAACCACGCATGCGTTTGGAAAAAAAAAAGGTAATATTCATTGCTTGCTTCATCGATCACGCGGTGTCGAGATCTTACACCTGAAAATCCTCCTTGTCAGTGCCGAGGAGCCTCCCGAACACTCGTAAAAAATTTATTGTAGTACCAAACTGATCCTTTAGACGTCAATAATGTAGATAAATTTACTTGTAACTACAGGAGACGTATAAGTACCCTCCACAATGTCCCAAAAACGGGCGATGGATTGAAAGGGCTTGGGAAATATATATTTCCGAAACGGCCGCGAGATTCGCCCAAGTTTGGGAACTATAGTTCCCACCCGTACCGAACGTGTTAAACATACTCGTGCCTACGTCTTTAGTCACGAAACTTCTGTAACCGTGTCTCTATTTTTAGCCAGGAAGAAATGTTAAATTATCGCCCATTCGATGTATGCCGCCGTTGCGTTCATCCTTTGCCTCCTCTGTTGCCCAAGCCTCTCCCACCTGACACGAAAGGGGGGCGGCCGACTCCCGAATGGTCCCGGTAGAAACGGAATTTCGATTTCGTCCGACGAAATCGAGTCTCGTTGTCCACGTGTCGAATTGGTATTGCGTAATTTGAAAAAGTATTATGACTATATGGAGCATTATTGACACACGTCGGAGACGGTTCGCGCGTGTGCTGCAATAACCGGTCCTCTCTGTTCGCTTTCCCCAAACTCGAAGAGAGCCTCTTCTTTCGCCTGGTGGCTCGGTCCGTCGTGCACCCTCCCGTCTGCTTGTCGCGCCTCGAGGAACATTAAGAGGGACACACCATCCGCGGGCAAGTTTTCCCCGGCGATTTCACCGAATATCTGTGTGTCCAATCGAGTTGTGTATGTACTTTCTTCAAGTTTGCCGTACGCACTTTCGTTTTCCCCACGAATCTCTGTCGAAAGCGTGGCGATCAAAAGTTAGAACAGTAAACCAACACCTCCCTTTGGAGGGATTTTTCTTTGTCTGGTTGCACGGTATACAGATTGCAAATTTGCATCAAAGTACCACGAAGATGTTTACTATTCTAATAAACGAGAGAACCGATCGCCTTTGAATGTTAAACGCTAGGATCTGATTAGGAGTATTGTGTTTAGATACCTGATATACGTCCAAACGGTAGAGTCATTGAATGGTGAACTAGTTCAGTGATAAAGTGCCTTGAATCACGAAAGGGGTCATTTACTAGATCCTGTAGAATATAGTGACAATTCCAATATGTCCAAGAGGAACGCAATGGCGGACCTAAAATGTGCTCCAAGCGAAATTCGACGATCTTCTTATGTTGCAGATTGTAAATAGTCGTTGGAGAACGGGAATCATGCTGACACGAGCTTTCGAAATCCACGGCCGGCTCTGCGCCGGTCATCCCTTGGAGGTGATCGTGACGACCTTCACGCTCACGGCATGCATCCTGAACATGGAGACCGGAAACGGACAGCCGCGGGACAACGCGCTGCCCGTGGCCTCGCATTGTCGGGCCGGTCGATGTAACTCGGACGTAAGGAATTGTTTTTCTCGAGAATCATCGACAATTACGGTCTGTAACCAGGACACTCGGGTCCTAATGGAATCGCTTTTTTTTTTTTTTTTTGAACCAAGGCTGTATATGGTGCACAGGTTTGACGTTGTCCCCGATAAAAAAAAAAAGCAGTAATATTTGTTCATTCGCCAGGACCTAAACGCAGCCGATATCATAGTGATGACTATAATACGATGTCTTGCAATACTGTTCACCTATCACCAGTTCCGCAGTTTACAAAAGTTGGGTTCCAAGTATATTTTAGGTAAGCCAGACCACTCGCGACCAAACGCAGAGATTCTCAATGTGTAGATCTAATCGGTTTCGAACGGAATGTAACAAAATGTAATCTAATTACAAAATGTTATTATACTATACTAAATTTACAATAAAAATTACAATGTCATTGTAATTGTTCCGCAATTACCTTGCACTTATGTACATTGTAATTGAAAATTAGATTTGTGTAATTAGATTACATTTTGCCCAACTCTGATTACGCGTTGCCCGATTGTTCGTAATACAACCGGATCTTCGCGGGGCACGTGTGAAAGCTCTTTCAGTGTCAGTGAAAGTTCCGTGGAAAGCGATAGCGATTCGTGCCGCCGCGACACGCGACGACGTTTTAATCGCCGAATTTACATGAGATCGAATTACGTCGAAATTCCGCGTGCATTTTTAATATCTCCTCTGTACTGAATACACCCGTACGAGTCGAGACGAGACTGTAATCGAAATTACTTGATAATTTAACACTAACCGTACCGAGACTTTTACATACCCTTTTGCAGATTTGGGCAAAATGTAATCGAATTACAAAACCCAAGTCACAATTACATTGTAATTAAGTAGTTAGTTGTAATTGTGATTTACATTTTGTAATTGCATTTTGTCCAACTTTGTCTATTTGTACCGTATTTAAAACCGGTCATTTGGCCGCTGATCGGTACGGTTCGTGCTAATATATGAATAAAAACACGAGTGGTTTACAAATTACAGCACGATTTTTCTTGTCTCATTTAGGTATCGCAGGCCTTTTTACCGTATTTTCCAGTGTTGTGTTCACGTCCAGCGTAGTGAATTTCGGACGCAGCGATATCGCCGACTTGAAGTAAGTTATCAATTTCAAGCGATACGCATAGAAGTATGTGTGTCGTTTAATTCCCCCCCGTTGCCATAAAGTGATTCCTTTTCAGGGACGCGTTGTTCTTCTTCTTGCTCATCATCGACCTGTCGAAGGCCGCGATATTAGCGCAATTGGCCCTAAGATCGAGGAGCCCGGATGAAGTACGAGCGAACATTGCCCGCGGCATGTCCCTTTTGGGACCGACTATCACGTTAGACACATTAGTGGAGACTCTGCTTATTGGCATAGGATCGTTGTCCGGCGTCAGACGACTTGAGATTCTTTGCAGTTTCGCTTGTCTCGGAGTTCTCGTCAATTATATCGTCTTCATGACCTTCTATCCTGCCTGCCTGTCGCTTATCCTTGAGGTAATCTACATCATCACAGCGGTTCCCCGTTCGCGTAAACTGTTACTGCCGCTCAAAAGTTTTAATCGCATTAACCTGTTAACTGGGTATGAGAAAATACTTCGTCATACCAGGAAGACAACTCCAATGGGGATGACGACCCTTTTGTCATGAAAATTTTTAATGGTGCGCTTTACGTTTTACGTCCTTCTTACCCATTAAAACCTAGCGTGGCCATATGGGAAAATATATATAAAATATATATGGGCCCATTGTGAAACGAGTTGAACAAAAGTTAATTCTCCAGTTAACAGGTTAACTGATGGAAAATAATTACAAATATCGTGAAAGAAGAACAATATAGCTATCTGTATTATAAATTAATGTAATTGGAGAGAAATTATAAGTGAACAGATGGTTCTTTCATTAACCCTTGTGTTGGCAACCGGGTAGCCAGTGACCTATTTCTAAGTTTTCTTTCACAGTGTTTTGTGTTCTTGTCTGAAATAGCCCTTGATATATTAATAGGAAGGGAAAACTAAGAGTTTCGGAAAAGTATGAAAGTAAAGTTACCTATATTTATCGAATCTGTCAAAATTGGAGTATTCCGATTGCTAAATAATTGTAAATGTTTTGGTCCCCCTCACAAGGGTTAACCGCCAGATTTATATACGTGGACTTAAACTTTTGAGCAGTAACGCGTGTAACACTGACATTTCCTGCATCTGCACGGCAATTACTTGTATTGTTTCTACTGATTAAGTAACGGTAGTATAGGTTCAGCCTTAGTAGGTAATTCTTGTCACCATAATAATATGGCTGTTATGTGACGTTCGCTGTCATACGTATAATAAACGTTAACCGGTGTCTGTAAGAGAATCACGCGAGGAATAGTTAACGGAGAACGTAGAAGGGAGAGTTGCTTTGGCTGTGCAGATACCAAGGGAGTCCTTTTTTAATGCAACAAGCTCACGTTGCCGTGTGGTTTTTCAGCTTTCTCGAGGCACGCACAGCATGAAGCCATTAAGCGCCGACAAGATCTTCATGATGCATCCGTTAAACGAGGAAGATCAGAAGCCAAATCCGGTAGTTGAGCGCGTCAAGTTGATCATGATCGCTGGCCTATTTGTGGTACATGCTAACAGGTAGCGACATTTTTTTCGCGCTATATTTCGTCGTTTCGGCTGAATATATATCCCTGCCAGGGTTTTCAGCTGAAACGAATTTTATGTTTTTTTCTTTCTTTCACATCAGATGCCGTGTATGCTCGCCGCCGTTCGTGGTAAAAAGAAACGACAAAATGTTATCACTTATCTGGCCCCTACTTCGTGTATATTTTTTTCTTATCTTTTTTTTTTACGCGAGCGTGTTGACTTCTTGTTTGGAAGTGCTCTTATGCCCAACTTCCATAGGTCAGGTTCAACTTATTACACAGTAATATAAGTGCATGTTTAATTCATGTACAATGGATTCCCTGAAAAAAAAAGATGGTATCGCGGAGGGGTTTGGACTCCTTTAACTCTTTGGTCGCTATGTTGGGAAGCAGTGTATTGCTCGCCTGTGCCAGGTTAAGAATCATTGTAATTATTGATTCTTTTGCCACGAATTCAGCAACTCTGTTGAAATAACTTTCGTGGAAAGAACCTGCGGATGTTTCGAGGAGGTCTATTGCCGCGACGGTTCAAAGGACCCGGGGGATTCTTTTTTTAGTGACGTGTGATGATGGTGCCTGAAAGTGTACAGAAAGAAACCAAAATTCGTGTAATTTATGTGAAGATTGTTGCGTATAATAACGTGTTACTCGATTCCCGCAGTTTCCATAATTCACTATATTTATTGTCCGTAGATAACGAAGTGATTTAGTCATTTAGCCAGAACTTTTGTTAACTGATTATATGTACAAACGTTTTGTTACTTTTGCATATTTCGATTTTGGAAAAATGAAAATAACATACGCGTATCGGTCGCGTATATCTCTTTTCGATATATTAAATTATAGTTTAGTCGTATAAACATTGGCAAGTTCGGTGATTACATAAAATTAGAATTAATTTCCATCGAATAATCATTAAAGTAATCGTGCTTGCCTATCCATAGTGTTCATTAGTTTGAAAAATTACATAAACAACGACCGTTAAATTTGAATGTTCGTCCGTTACAGCCGCTGGCCTTTCAAGAACGATGAAAACGACCACACGGTGGAAGGCAAGGTGTCACCCGCGAATTCTCATATTGTAGCGAACACTTATAATAAGACGGAGAATCCGACGGAAGTGAAGCAGTACTTAATGAACTGGCTGTCAGTCAGCGCCGATAACATTGTAATACTGATCCTTCTTCTTGCATTGGCGATCAAGTTTATATTTTTCGAGGATAAGGAAGACATCGCCAAGCAGCTACGGTTCAAGGAGGCGGACGATACGGAGGAAAAGGTTGAGCTCGAGTTCACAGAACAGATGAACACCGGTGCCATGGATATATCGTTGCGTGAACGATTCGAAGGATCGCATCCAGCGATGCGTTCCGCTATCTTCCCGTTGTCCGGGGTGGGCGGTGGTTGGATCGAAATGGAAAATGAATCTCAGATGGAGTTCACCGACAAAGAAGTGCAAACCGACGGTAGGCAAACGAGCATAGATGCATCGAGCAGTGAAAGTTCGTCACTCCGTTCGACAGTTCCTAGATCATTAGAGGAATGCCTTGAAATATACAAATCCGAGGTAGTTGTCTTTCTTACGAGTCGTGAAAATTATATTAATACAATGCGTTAGAAAATGATATAACCACCTACGTTTTCTGGTGTAACTCGAGAAAAAAATCACCGATCCACCTCAAATTTGTTGCGTATGTAGTCTAAATAATTGTTGATAATTTAAGACCTCAATCCAATAAAGAATTTCTGGGGTATACTGGTTAGAGATGTATATGACGATTGTCGTCAATTTGATTCAACAGATCAGCTGAAGATGGCCATCGTACAATCATGGAACAAAATTAACACCGAGATGCTAATGAATCTAGCAAATTCCATGCCAAAACGTATGAATCTGTTTATCAAAAGTAACGGAAAACCAATTAAATAATGAAAAATTACTATATGTTCTTTATTAAAACTGTTCAATAAAATAAATTGATTATCCTTTAAGTGGCTATATCATTTTCTAACAGTTGTAAACCCGGTAAATTCATGAAAGAGGTTACTGTGCCTCAATGAGCGAACGTTTTGTAAATGAATCATTCTAAAATTATCAACAACTATTTAGACTACGTACACAACAAATTTGAGGTGGATCGGTGATTTCATTCTCGAGTTACACCAGAAAACGTAGGTGGCTATATCATTTTCTAACGCACTGTACAACTTCTTTCCAATGTTATCCTCTTGTGTTCGTAGCTCGGAGCAAGCGAATTGACCGACGAAGAAATTATTCAGTTAGTCAAGCACAAACATATTGCCGCCTATCAGTTGGAGAAAGCAGTCGGGGATATGGAACGTGGTGTCGGAATAAGACGTCTTATAATTGGGGAGGCTGGAAAATTTATCGAAGACATTACTGATTTACCGTACAAAAGTTACGATTATAGCAAAGTATTAGGATCGTGTTGCGAGAATGTTGTGGGATACGTGCCAGTACCGCTGGGAATCGCTGGTCCCCTGTTAGTCGACGGTGAATTCTATCATGTACCAATGGCAACCACCGAGGGATGCCTGGTAGCATCCACTAATCGCGGAAGTAGAGCTTTGTTGAAATGCGGTGTTACCAGTCGCGTGGTCGCCGACGGGATGACCCGAGGACCAGTTGTACGATTTCCGAATATCGTTAGAGCCAGCAAGGCAATGAGCTGGATGCAGGACGAAGAGCATTTCCAGGAAATGAAGGACAGCTTCGATGTGACTAGCAGATTCGCGAGATTGACAAAGATCGACGTACGCATAGCTGGTAGACATTTGTTTATTCGTTTCGTCGCAACGACCGGTGACGCGATGGGAATGAATATGCTGTCCAAGGGCACGGAACAATCGTTGAACACAGTCAAAGAATATTTCCCTGATATGGAAATCTTATCGTTGAGTGGTAATTTTTGCACCGATAAAAAACCGGCGGCGGTGAATTGGATTCAAGGTAGGGGTAAAAGCGTCGTTTGCGAGGCCGTGATTCCTGCAGACATCGTTACCAATGTCCTAAAGACTTCAGTTCACGCTTTGGTTGACGTGAATATAAGTAAAAATATGATCGGATCGGCTATAGCTGGCAGCGTAGGTGGTTTCAATGCTCACGCTGCGAATATTGTGACCGCGATTTTTATAGCCACGGGTCAGGATCCTGCACAAAATGTTGGCAGCAGTAACTGTATGACTTTGATGGAACCGTGGGGAGCAGACGGTACGGACTTGTACGTGTCTTGCACAATGCCTAGCATAGAGATAGGCACCATTGGGGGTGGAACCGGTCTTCCTGCACAAGGGGCGTGTTTAGCTATGTTAGGCGTTAAAGGGGCTAACGCTAATCAACCTGGCGAAAATGCCAGCAGATTAGCTAGGATTGTATGTGCTACAGTACTTGCCGGTGAATTGTCACTGATGGCTGCTCTCACGGCCGGTCAATTAGTCAAAAGTCATCTTAGGCATAACAGGTATGTTGATAAAAAGAGAAAACTAAAATATTAATATATCATTTACTTATGATCGGACAAATTTAATGATATTGAGTTATGTTTCAGATCAACTACCACAGTAGCAAATGCAATAACTGTTCCCGAAACCAATTTGGGAGATACATTGACTGTGCCAAATGTTTTAGAGCCTGTACAAAACGTTTGTAAGGAGTTTATAGAAAAATCTTAGCATTAATCGTATGTGAACTGGTTCTGGTTTGATCTTGCGTACGCAATGTCGTACAACTGCTTCAACGTAATATTTCAAAGAAATGATTAATTCATGTACGTAAAAGATATATATCACACCTAAAAAGAAAGAAATAGGAACAGAACTATAAGAAAAATGAAACTGAAATGACACGATAAGAATCTTAACAATAACGGAGTGATATAGACATTGAAATGGAAAAGTACTTTGAATATCTTATGCATACGATTTACGTTGCAGACAGAGCATAGAGTTTTAAATGTAATGAAATATATGTATACTTAATTTTCAACGAACTTGCGCGATTAACAAAGGTTGTATGAAATTAGCGTTGTGCAAAGATTATTTTTGCGTACAAGATCATATTTTTACATAGTGCAATATTAATTTTTAGCTGTAGTAATTTAATCGATCAGATCGTCATAATAAAACAGTAACAGGACTTAATCGGAGGCTGTACATTATGTAGTATACCGAGTACAATCGAAGTAATGAATTGTCTTTGGAAATAGAAATATATACATATATAATTATGGTATTATAATGCAAATAAAAAATCGTAAGTTTTATTATTTGTTTCTGGATGTTTAAATAATCTAAAGACTAGGTGGAGTCAGTGAAAATCTAAACGCATTATAATGTATAAAACTTTATTAGTACAAACATATTCGATCCAATGAAAAATATTTGAAAAAAAAATAAAAATAAATAATAAATTATTGATACAACAAATTAGATATTAATTTTCTTTCACTATGCATGCCTAGGTATGAAGAAATTGATATAACACAGCCTAATAAGATACCTCTAAGAAATTAACTACAAATCTAAATTTTACATTTTCTCATAAGTTTCCTCATAACCACAAGTGGTGCAAGTATGTGTATATGTATCATCATCCTCATTATATGTGTCTTCTCCAAATTCGTGTGTATGAGAAGCCTTTGATGTTTTATTATACAATGAGCTTCTAACTTCCATTCGCAATTGTTTGATCTGTATAAAAAGAAATCACACTTAATTAAACACAGTATTTCTAAAAAGATAGACTATTATTTTATACTTCAACATAAGAGTAATATTAAAGTTCCACACACGATTTCTACCTTTTTATTAAATTTTTTAATTTTAGTTCCTTCCCGTTTAATATCACGTAGCTCCTTTTCCTTTATTAATTTCTCTTCTGAGCCCCAAACTTCTAATGCCCTCTGTTCCACTTGTAAATGCAGATATAATTTCATGTCACCCCAATTCACATTGTGGGGATTTTTTCTTATAATACACTTCAATGGAGGTTCTCTTTTTTCGAAATCACAATCCTTTAATAAGTACTCCTGTTTGGCTTCAGTTTTTGTAATTAAAGAATGCTTTCCCTGCGAATCCCTACGAAATGAAACAGAATATCACAATTTTATACAATTTGAGCAATTAATTAGAATATGAAAAATACTTTTACCTGCAGTTATCACATACACTTAAATTGAAAGTTTGTAACAGGTAGGAGTCCTTAAACTCAGTTTTACATTCATCACATTGAGGTAAATCAGTAATAATAGGAGCAGGGATTGATGTTATTTTTATCTGTAATGTAAAGATCATTAAGAGTTCAGAAGTTTTAAATAATTGTGTATTATATAATGTACCATTTGTTCTTCTAAATCATCATTTTCTTCTATAAGAAAACCACCACCACTGTCTATCACACGTTGCACTTGTACTTTCTTTGTTTTGCCATTTGCTGAATCTCCATTCTCTCTTTAAGAAATACACATGAAAAAAACACATATTATTCTTAGCAACCAAAAATATGTAAAAAATATATTACCTACCCCCTTAAATAGGGATGAGACACGATTTTCGCTTTTCTTAAAAGTAAAGCTTTCTCTCTATTTCTCTTTGCACGTTCCTTAACGTCCAGTGTATCTTGAGACATTTTTTATGTGACTTTAATCTAAATAGAAAATAATATTTAATTTTTGTAATGACCGTCAATGTACATTAAATCTATAACAGGGTATACAAAATTACCGTAAATTAATAGCGTTGAAAATATACAAGACAGAATTGTTGTATACCTAATCTGTGTATTCTAACAAAGCAACTTTGCGTGACATTAAACAGATCACAAAACTCTGGGCCGAAGATACCTCGTTCGTGTCACAATTTGAAAATTAGAATTGTGTACTTCTATGCTATGATATTCAACGATTTATATCGAAAAATACAGAAAAATAGTCCATAATTTATTTACATGTTCTTCCAAATAGTGTGAAGGTGTTTTTTGAATTCTCTTGTATTGATTTTGTGTGTAAACAAAAATCAATTGTACTGTTTACAATCAATATTTATGCTGACAGTTCGCGTGTTGACCAAGCATTCAGATTATAGCTTAAAAAACATAGATTAATCACCCGTCATTGATAATAATAATAAACAACCAGAACACTGTCAAAATCGTATTTAATCGTGGAATACCTTTTTTTGACCGGTGGCGCCATCCGTGGCGAATCGCCGAAACTGCTAGCCCACATGCTCACAGACATCGGGTCCCTGGCGCCTCCACGGGGGGTTCTATGACCCCGCGATCTCATACACGAGGTCCTGGCGCCACCTGCGGGGGTTCTGTGACCCCACGTTTTCACTACACGGGGTCCCTGGCGCCACCTGCGGGAGTTCTGTGACCCTACGTTCTCACCACACGGCCACACGGGATCTCTGGCACATGTTCCTGGGGTGCTATGACCCCATGTTATCACACACCGGGGGTCTCTTACGTTGCCCGGGGGTTCTATGACCCCTCTTAGTCGGTGGAAGCACTAGAGTAGTAGAGCCGCGACTTACACATGTATATTTTCGTGAAATCTTTGACAACACTAGGCAACACATTATAAGTAAAAGAGTGTCGATCTTCGAATAAAATTTCATTTCTGATTCGACAGCAAGACGTGTTTCAAGCAAAAAGGGATTTGAAATTATTGTTAGATGCACAGCACTACGGAAAAAAGATAAACGCTAAGTCACGCTAGTAATATTGAAAGCACAGATGATCTTTGATCTCTAATCACTATGTTCAAGACGGAAAATGTGTAATGGCCGTATTTTACCACATATTTGCAGTGAAACACGGCTCCAAAAAAGTACATATATACGAAAAAAGGATCTAATATAAAATGAACACACTAATTCATACGAAAGCGATGATAATCGGCCACGGCAGAACGATCCGACGTACGTACAATTAATTTCATTCCATAATAAATTAGAATCATAATTTATCACTTTTCATGCGTACTTTATAGATATTGTGCACGTTACATTTATATAACAGATGATTTCGTGAATGGAACTATTTATATGTGTGACAGATTAACAAAAATTTGTCACTGTTCTAACTTTTTCCTCTATTAACCTTACGATTTATGTAATTACTTAAACAGTAGGTTATGTTGTGAAATATTTTTTAATAATAGCGGCTTAATGTATTCATGATAGTAATAGTTCTATGAATTGAATAATAATTTAATTACTTTGAGTAATGATAAAAAGTTATTGACAAAAATATTAAATGAAAATTAAATGGTATTATGTTAACAATTTTATTATTAAAATAAAGCGTTTGAATGACATCGAAATCTGTATCATAAACGAAACTAATGAAATGACAAATGTGTATAATTTAATTGTAAGTGTGGTTATTTCAGAATATGGTTGTTTCAAGTTGTGGTACAATACCAATCAAATACATGGAAGTCTGGCACTTATTTACACTGGTAAAAGAGATCCAAGAAACACTAGAGTATTAATACATTCTACAATAACACAAACCTGTAATAATATTAATATTAATCCGTCATATTTGCAACTCCGTACGTTTTATATAACACCGACATGGAAGGGTCAAGAATCATCTTCCAAAGTGGAAGATACAGTGAAAAATATCAAAGAACAAAAGGAACTCAAAGAGAAAATGGATAGTACTGTTAAACAGTCTACTTCCAAAGCAGTGGTAGAAAAGCGTACCCTATGGCAGAAAGTCAAGGGAGAGATATTGCATTATTATCATGGGTTTAGATTATTGGGGCTTGATATGAAAATTTCAGCAAAGCTAGTTTGGAGAATTTTGCGAGGTAAAGAACTTAGCAGAAGAGAACACAGATTGGTAAGTAAAAAAGTACCATTGTATCTGTATAATTGGAAGTCGCACTTTTGTATCTGTTCTAACCTTTCATTGATTTTAGCTTATAAAAACAACTGGTGACCTGTTTAGGCTTATTCCGTTCTCTGTTTTTATTATCGTTCCTTTTATGGAATTTCTATTACCCCTTGCTATCAAGATTTTCCCTGGCATGCTACCATCCACCTTCCAAACGGCAACAGAGAAGGAGGATAAATTGAAACAAGCACTAAAGGTTTGAGTTCAACATATTATTTATGCAATAATCATTTGGTTTGAATTTTACCTTCAGGTTTTTTATCTCAGATTAAAATTGAGATGGCTAAATTCCTACAAAAAACACTGGATGACATGGCAGTACAGTCGTCGGATTATAGGTCGACAAAGGCTAAGGAGTTTGCGGAATTCTTCTATAAAGTTCGAACCTCTGGTACCACAGCCACAAATGAAGAAATAATGCAATTTAGCAAACTTTTTGAGGATGAAATTACATTGGACTCCCTTTCGCGGCCACAATTAGTGGCATTGTGTAGAGTATTAGATGTGCAAACTCTGGGAACGACGAACTTTTTACGATTTTTACTTCAAATGAGATTGAGAAGTCTTTCTGCGGATGACAAGGTATTCTGTTCGGCATTATTTAGTTCATGTAACTTGTAACGTAGCTGCTACCCACCTTCGTCTACAATTCATATCTATTTCCTCAGCTGATAGAAAAGGAAGGTATAGAATCTTTGACTAGAAGTGAATTACAGCAAGCCTGTAGGGCACGCGCAATGCGAGCATACGGTTTGCCGGAAAGCAAGTTGAAAGAGCAATTGTCTCAATGGCTGGACTTGAGTCTGAACAAAAAAGTCCCACCATCGTTATTGCTTCTCTCGCGAGCACTCATGGTCCCAGAAACCATACCGATGTCGGACAAATTGAAGGCTACTATTTCAGCCCTTCCTGACACTGTTGTCGCCCGTACTCAAGGAGCAATTGGGGAGAAGGAAGGTAAAATGGATCATAAGACTAATATTGAAATAATCAAGATGGAAGAGCGTAAGATCGAGGAGGAACGGCAAGAGAAGAAGGAAAGCGAGCCTCAGCCATCAGTCTTTATGGAAAAGGCTGACGAAATTACAAATACAGACGTGAAAGTGTTAGAGCAGGCTTTAGATAATATTGGAAAGGTTTGTACCGATCAAATTCTGCAAAAAATACTTTAGAACGTGAAATTGTCACTCACAGATGTACAATTTTATAAAGGATAAGAAGAAGATGTCGGTGGAGAAGGAGGAATTGAAGGAGCTGAAAGAAGAGATGGCCGATTATCAGGAAGATCTTAAAGAACTTTATGAAATTAAAGCGGCTGCGAAGGGCCAGGAAGATGTAGAAAGTATTAAAGAGTCCAAGGGCGCTAAGCGATTATTTAATAAAGTGAACAAGATGATTGGAAAGATGGATGCGGTGTTGGAGCAGTTGGAATCCAAGAAGCAAGTTAAACAGAAGGCTGTAGGCTCTGATGCAGAGGAATCCCCTTCTTCTAAAAACGTCGAGGAATTAGTTAGAATCGACGAATTAATTATCGCTATTAAACAAATTCAAAATGTACCTGATGAGCATCGGTTACGTCGCATAGCAGAAATTTTGGCAAAAATTGATGACGACAGAGATGGTTCTATAAAGATTGAAGATGTTCTAAAGGTAATGCACATTCACGATTACTTAATATAAATAAACAAATGTATCCGTAATGTTTAGCAAATATTTATATGATTATTTCACAGGTTGTGGAACTAATTGGAAAGGAAGATATTAAATTAAGTAAAAATCAAGTACATGAATTAATCGAGTTAATCGATAAAGAAGAAATCTTAGAAGTAGAAGAACAAATTCAAAAGTCATTACAGAAAGAGTCGAAATCGGAAAGTTCGAAAACGAAAGAAAATTCCGAAGAGAAATATATTCCGCCAATATCTCCAGTTCCTGCGACACCCGTAACGACTGAAAAAGGTTTTGGTAAAGAGGAATTAGACGAAGATTACACTGCACACTCACCCAAACAGGAAAGAGAGAAGTCGGCTGCGGTTCTTAAAGGTAGTTCCTCTTCCGACGCAGTGAGAAATGCCCCATTGGGCCCTGGTGTCCCACCACCGACAAAAAAAGCGGAAGGCTCTAAACAGCTGTGATTACCGCACAATAAACTATAAATTAATGTATGTAATTATTAATACAATCTTTTTACCGGACATTCATCGAAGGAGATAATGCATCGTCATCTCTATATATATTTTCACGCATACATTTTTTTAGCAACTGAGTTTGAATACAGTGAAAATCTTTTACGAAGTCTTGAGACACAGGAAAAGTCTTCATAGGATAATTACAATAGTTTACATGTACGTATCAAACGGTTCTATCATGAAACGCTGCCGCATACATAGTCTTCGCTACTTAGGAACAAGTTTTACCGAAATCGCTAAAAGAACGTTGAACGAATTTTTGTATTTATTATGAAAGCAGATTTTGAATATTTTCATTAAGACTGCGATGCATTTAACGGCATCTGTTTGTCATTTTGATCTAGAAATTGCAAGACATCTGTGCTGGCCACAAAATCACCACCTTATATGCAAATTCTTGAATATGGAAAAAATATTGTTTAAAAAATTATACGTGACAATACTGCAGTCGTTGATATTGTTGATTAGCAATGAGATTACAAACCGAGCAACCTGTTTTTGTTTTAGTGAAGCTCAATTCCAAAATATTGTACTATCGCGAAGAATCATTCCACCTGTCCGAGTATTGACTATTGTTACAGAACTATAAACAATAAACACAGATCTCTGTGAGTGAAGTTCAAGGAAAGATATATTGTACATTTATAGGATAAAGTAATTTTATTAACTGTAATGTACATAAACAGAGAATATTGTCCATTAAATGTATGCACTGAATACATAAAAGAAAAATATTTATGTAAAGCACATAACATTTGAACAATAAATACCTCTGTCTTACATACAAAAAGAGGAAATTCAAAATCAATTATTACTTGCAATTGAAAGTAAATGAAACGTTATCTCTGGAGTATGTTAATTGTCAACATAAGAAAAATTAAACACTATTTGCGTATAGAGCATAGTATCGGTGCAGTAATAATAAAAAAAAGTGGCAAGATTAATTTCAATACACATGTGTAGTAGTGTACATATATTTGCACAAAATTGCAATATAAATAAAATCTATTATTATATGCGAGTTATTCGTATTTCGAGAGTAAAGAAATGAGAATAGTAATGATGCCCAGGGTGACATTTACTTTTTTACTTTTGTGCATCAAACTATCTGTTTATGTAATAAACTATTTATCTAAACAAAATATATAGTTTTATTCGGAAATAATGCTTTCTTAATTTATGTGTACAATTACTCTTATTAAAGACATTCACGTATATATGCATTGTCATTTTGAACCTCTTTGTATTTTCTAATAATTCATGAGCAGAAATTCGAAACACCAAACTGTATATCTGATTATATAAAAATGATCAATAACTTTTAAATTTTTTAATATTATTTTTTTTAACTTTAAATTATCTAACGTCATTAAACAAGTACATAAGAAGATAAATATTGAAGCCAATGGTTGTCGAACATCTGTACATACAAGGGGTTAGTAACAAGAGAGCGGAGGGTGTAAGAAACACTCAACCACCTGGATAGCTCACGAGAGACAGGAAATTTTCGACTACTGCGCGGATTCCTTTTAAAGTCTAGAGAGTGGAGATGCGGTATTGCGGAAGGGGTCGACTTTTGCAGGTATCAGGAATTTAAATGTTTTTGCTGACTAAGACTTCCTGGAAGGGTCTATATATCTAATACGACCATGGGACAGGACGAGGGTCCCATAAATTGATATGGAGAACGTAGAAATTTTTGTAACAATTTAAAAAAATGTGACGTAAAATCACTTCCAATTGATATGGTACATTTGTGGTTCTGATATGTGCTACGTGGAACAAAATAGGTTCTTGTACATGCTAACGTGGAACCCGTTAGAACCCGTGGAACCAAATAGGTTTCTGTACATTTTTGTATATGCTAGCGTGAAATTAAAACGGGTAGATTCCTACTATTATGCTAGAATTGGTCACTTGGTGCAGCACTTGCCCGGGAACAACGAATTCCCAGGCGTGAGGACTCTCATTTCCTCTCTGATCCAACTTAACTTTAGCTAGCCAAACTTCTATATCTACAAGTCCGTGGTTTGGTTTGGTATTTAAATAGGGAAGGAAAGGGTTGCAGTGATTTCACAGCTTGGTCGTTATCATCAGTTATCATTATCGCTGTCAGCTGCATGTCGAAGTTGGAAGTGTCGGAGTAGCAGGTGGATGCTTCGTTTAATATTCGTCTATCACTAAATGAGTTTGTTTTAACATTTAACGAGATCAAGATGTTCATTAAACCGTTCAAAGTTAAGTCAAATAATCAACTAAAGGGTACAGAAAGGTTGGTACGATATATCGTTGCTATAAGCATGGAAAATAATAGTCTGTTTCTCAGAGTGTCTCACAAGTAATGCGGCTTTTTGCAGTATTTATTTGTGTAAACATTGCAGATTACTTATGAGATAATTAAATAATTCACAAACATGTACTATATTTTTGTTTTACTGTTAATTAGGAAAAAATTATGTCAAGAAATATTGACAGCATACCCGACACTGACAGATGATGAAATACAGTCATTAATCCCTAAGAAAGAGGCAATAAGTGCTATGAAGATTGCAACTCATAGCGGGCAATTAGGCAAAGTATATTGTGTTGCCAAAGTACCTATGTTTTTCCAACTTGACTTTTTGCACCTCCTACTATTACCCACTATATATACTTTATGGTATCATCCAAACTTGTTAAAAGTTTTTACAACGAAACTTCCAGTGGTTTCAAAATTAGCGGGTGGTGCAGATCTTATGTTACCTGGAGTGATCGTTAATGAACCAGTAACATTGTATACTTTTGGGAAATTACACAAGGGTACACCTGTTTCAGTTGATACAGATGACAATAAGGTTTGTGTCAATTTTTATTGTCACTTGTCACAAAGAAGTATAAGTTTGTTTTGTATGTAGGCATCTGTTGCGGTTGGTATTACTGCACGATCTAGCGAGGACATGTATATGTCAGGAGGCCATGGGAAATGCATAGAAATTTTGCATGTAATAGGCGATACGCTTTGTCAGTTGGGAAAGCCACCGAGTAGACCAAATTTAGGACCAGCAAACATTGGTAATGATGATGATAAATTAGACAATCTGGAAGAAACTAGCAATCAGGTTAATGAAAGTTATGATAATCCACCTGTTGATGCAATGAATGATTTAGAAGTTTCTAATGAGAATGTGCCAAAAACTGAATCACCATGTGAGGTAATTTGTAATGTACTTTGCACAAGTAACTTGAAATTATATTCATAGGAAACTATTAATATATTATTTGTTTTATAGGAAAATGTAGAAGAAGATGAAGTAGAAGAAACTGAACAAATAGGGGCTGCAGTCCTTGATCAACAAGAGGCAGTAATAGATCCTGTACAAGAAATGGATAACTTACTAGAGTATTGTTTCTTGAAGGCATGCAAGACATCTGTAAAGTCCGGTGATCTACCAATGTTAGTGTCCAATTTCTTTAAGAATCATTTGATGGCGGCATGTCCACCAGATAAGAATGTAGACATAAAAAAATCTCGGTACAAAAAGTTATCCGTGTTCTTAGCAGAAATGAAAGCAAAAGGTGTTATTAATACTTCTATTACAAAAGGTGTTGAAAGTATACTGTCGATTAAGGTAATATTATTATACTGGAAAATTTCGTTGTACAGTATAAATACTAACGAACTCTATATTACAGTTTGATCATCCATCGTTAAGGAAGCTAGTCATCTTAGAAGAGCCTACACCGGCGGAACCAGTAGTGTCGAACACAGCAGTGGTCTCTGAGTGTTACAAAGTGACTGCAGACGTGGTGCCAGTATTGTCGAAATTCGGATACGAGTGAGTATAGAGCGTCACGCCTAGGGAGACACCATTTTACCGCGATACAATAATTGCAGAGAGAATGATTTTCTGTGCAGAGCAGAAGTCGACAACTGTTACATCATATACCATTATGCTGTATTATATGATACGAATTATGTACATTTTACTCCCATACGATGATTGCAGAAAAGGGGACGTAATGAAAAGAGCTGAGATCAGAAAATGTTTTACTGAATACGTGAAACGGGAGAACCTACAAGATGGAAAGTAAGTAATTCTTTACAGTCTATTGTGGAACAAGACCCCTAGATCAGCTGTGAAGAGTTAAAAAAACTAGAAAAAGTGCGATTTTGGTCGTTACGACTGGCAAATCGAAGAATCCGGAGATCGCGAGTTTAAATCCGGCTGGCTCGGTCCTCCTTTTTTGGTCCTACACTATGGTCTACTGTATCTGAGTGTGATTACGTAATGTTTTCTACTTGCAGAATGCTGAAGTTGAATCCACAGCTCGCGGGAATTATGAAAACGAAAGCGGATCAGGTGACTGTCTCGATGGAGGATGGAATTAATAAGTTTATAGGACGAATGACGCACATGCATGAAGTTACCTTAGCAGGAAATAAGTTACTACATACGGGAAAATTGGAACCAATTGATATGAGGGTCACAGTTCGATCCGGTGGTAAAAAGGTATAACGATCGAATTTACATTTGAAGTTTAGATTTTGAAAATTTACAGCCGATCTTGGGCTAAACAAGTTGTGAAAAATATCCCAGTTAAGATTCTATATTTCTTACATTAAAGGTAACGCTGGTGAACAATTTGGAAACGTTCGGTATAAACTCGAAAGAATTCAGTAAGGAATGCCAAAATATTGGTGCGAGTGCGACAATTACGGACGAACCTGGAAAGAAAACTCCTAGCGTTCTTGTTCAAGGAAATCAAATTCTATATGTGTATAAGTTACTCACCGGTAAGCGGTAAACAGTTGACGCGCTCTGCTAAGTTAAATACCCTGTATGTTCAAGTTAAATAAATATTGCTTTTGTTACAGAGAAATACCAAATTAAGAAGACTTACATAAGAGGGTTAGAGTTTGCTCCGAAAAAGCCAGGTGTCCATAAAAAGTAGAGAAACAATTGTCTATCCGTGGATGTCACGTCGTCAACTAACCAAACCTGTACTTCAAATGCGTTTGACTTTCGTTCGCGATCGTTGCATTTTCCTTTCAATTTGAACTTTGTAATACCGTTCAGCTATTCGATTAAAGAGCCTCGTGGTATCGTAAAGACTGCGTCTGCATACCGTATGCCGCAACTACAATGTCTGCTCTTAAAACGAAAAACATTTAAAACAATCAATCATGTTTTACTATTGTGCGTTGACTCGCGAATAAAGGAATTCTCGACGAAACAGCTCGGTGTTCGTTCTTCTATTCCCTTGTGCCTCTATCTATATGTAGACATTATTCTCCAACAGGACAACAGAATTCATCTGCTCTTTGTAAAAACTTTCCAGTGGAAATCCAAGGTTTAGTGTTGGAGAGGGCCGGGCAACAATAACTGGAGGATCAAAGTTTGTTAATATAATTTATTGTATATCGAGGTTTCAACATGGAAAAGTACAAATATTGCAATGTAGGGCCCGCGAGCTCACCTCGGGTGGGAGGGAGGGAGGGAGGGAGGGAGGAGGGTACAATTTCACAGGAAGGAGAGACAACATACCTTAAGACGTCTTCAAGACATTGTTTTTCTTTTTGTTCTGTTCTGACGGGAATAAGCTTGTTAATGTTTTCGAAACCGAGAGTATCAATGTACTCTATAGATTTTCTGCGTCTTCTTTTGCTCGTGTGTGTGTTTTTTATACGTTCCTCGTTCGTTTGCCTGACAATGGGGGGAAACAGCCGACGGATCGGGGAACGATCCGTCGAGATTTCACTTGAGTAAAGGAAGGTTCCCTCCTCTCCACGGCCCCCGCATATATTTAATACTCGTTTTGTTTTTTTTTGTTCCTGCTACCAGTACGCACGGGCGCGTCACGATGCGACGTCTGATACACGCGACGCGCGCGTGCGTGTCGTGACAGTTATTATTCTTTTTTTTTTATCATCATCATCATCATCGTCATCATCATCTTCACTTTCTGTTCCTTAACTAAGCAGGCTGTCTCTGCGGTCGTGACCGCTCGAATCGGATCGGATTTCCAGCCGATTCGTCGATCGAGGAAACGATAATTCGAGAAAAGTGGCACTACCCCCTTTTAATGTGTGATCAAACGCAAGCGACACTCGAGGGGCCAAGCCATTTAATTTCCTCGATTCTCGAAACTGTCCAATAGTACTACTTACTCGTTAGCTCGACGTGTTTGTGGGCGGATATGACTTAACAATTCGCGGATTTGTGGATCGTTGAAAGGACTGGGACGACTTGATGGTGACGGTCAGCGGACAAAGATGTAGCGAGCTCGTGTCGGAAGGTTTCACATATCTCGTGACAATCAATTTCGTTCAACTGCACAAAACACACGTATTACTTTCGCTCCTGGTTGATTCCAACGAGCACGTTAAATCTCTATCGTCGACATGGTACACCCGGTATAACCCTCGAGATGACACTGTTTCAAAATGGGGGGCTTTCTCGTTTAAAAACGTTCACGTTCAACGCTTGATGTATCCACAAATCTCCGAAATGCTGAATTACAATAACTTTTTAGAATCTGCTCTCTGAAATACGACAATCTCGTCAACAGTCTATCGTTTCTCATTCCATCTATCGACGAATCCTGGCTAAAAATAACGTTCAAGCACCCTCGGTTCCCATTTTGGTACGCTCCCATCCACATCTCGAAATAAAGAATCGCTTCGCCTACTATCGATATTGATCGATCACGATCGACGAGCGCGACACGGCCGCTTCGAGACGCCTTTCATCTCACTCTCTCCCTCTCTCGCTATATTCTAAATCGCTTCTTCTCATCATTCTTTTTTTTTTGTTGGGAACATATATTGTGCCTACCGTTGTTGCCTGTTTATCATCCAGTTGTAAACACGACCGTGATCATTGCCACAATCATCGCCAAACATCGTCATTCTTCACGATTTAATCACCGAAATTTCGTTATCATCATCATCATCATCATCATAACCGATTCGTGTCTCTCACGTCATTCATTCTTTCTTTCGCTCGAATTCTCGTTTTCGCCTGTCATTCTCTCTTTTCCTTGCTCTCCGTCTCTTTTGCTCTCACTCTTTCATTCTGTCACACTTTCTTTCTCTCTCTCTTTCTTCCGTTTTTCGTCTTCGGAATTTTTCATAGTTTTTTTTCTTTTATGCAACACATAATGCGACTAGGTAGTACAGGTTAATTAATAATTAATATCGTTAGTTATACAATAATAACGTATGACTAGACAATGCAAGATAATAATTATATCGTAAATAGTAATAATCATGGATCGCAATTTATATCAACAATTGTGATGGCGCGCACGTGTTCTCGAGAATGCTTGTTGTTTATTCGTTTTTAAATTATCGTTATGTGTGTGCCTCTTTGTGTGCGTGAATGGTCTCCTCTTTTCGTGTGTATGTATGCTGTCCTCTGTGTGTGTATGGTAAGTATGCGTGTAGATGTATGACAGTACACTGATGTGTTGCATCGAACGTTACAAATTTATTGGATTTCTTTCTTTTAGATTCAACGAAATCGTTAATTCAGTTTCTCTTTGACGACCATTCCCGAAAGTTCACCTCGGAGAACGGTGATGAAATGCCAAATCGTTCTTGTAAAACGAGTTATATGCGTTATCATTGGTAACTAAATTACCATGATTGTTGTAATGCGTTGACACGCGTGTATAAATGCGTGTCACAGGTGTGTGTAACGTGTACCTATGTATACGTGTGTGTGTGTGTGTGTGTGTGTGTGCATGTAGAGGAAGCTTCTTGCTCTTGTACTACATATTTATATCGGTATCCCCGATTAACCTCTTAAAAAGCACGGCTCCGGTATATACGTGTAAGATATACAAGGTGTGTGTTGTCGCGCGACAACAGCCGGCGCGTGTTGTCACCGAGATGCTTTGGTAAATGTTTCACGTGAGAAATATATGCGTTCGTAATATAATAATAATGCAATACAATATAATGCAATATAATATAATAATATAATGTAAAGTAATATAATATAATGTAATATAATGTGTATTATAGATATATCTAACCTCCACGCAATACTTGAATGGATTTCACTCTATCTATAGTTTGCGTTAAACAATACGAGTAAGTAATTAATAATCATGCGATAAGTACACGGTAATATGGATAAATGACGATAATTAAATACCGATACACATATACGGGAGAGGTTTATGCCCGCCAACGCGGAACTCCCAAATCAAACCTGTGCCCCGGCTCCCCTCCGGAAAGGTACATACATATTATATACTCAGAACAAAGTATACCCGCGAAACACTCGAGAAAGAAATGATCGGTTCCCATCAGTTCGCTGCGGTGACCTTCGATCGAAAATCCATCCACGTCCTTTTGCATCGTTAGTACACGCGGTTGTCGATCGTTGCGCGTATTGAACATCCCAAAGAAGAATCGAAACACGTTCTCGAAGTGAAATGCAAAATTACCTTTCGTCAGATTTCTGCCAGTGACGCGGCCCCCTTTTCGTTTTGGCGCGCGCATACACACACTACGTCACGATTTCCACAAACGCAGAATACGAAAACAATCTGGACCGCCGTATATATACGAGGCGTCCACGTCTGGCGAATTTTCAGACCGCACATATACGGCGCTCACAGCGAACTGGTTCAAAAGCCCGTTCGAGAGCGTTTGGACAATCGAGTTTCTCTACTCTTTAAGAGGTTATGTAATCTAGTGGCGCGACACTTGATAGGATCGATCGGTAATAACGGTGAGATCACACGGTGCCCTTCTCGGCGACGGCCCCCCTCCCCCTATCTCGCGTGAAATAGTATCGTCAGGTTCATAGCGATGATTAGAGGTGCTTCTTGCTAAAATGTCAAAGCATCGGAAAATTAAACGTTCTCCACTAGTCACAAACTTCCCGTCTCGTGTTTACTAAAAGTTGATTCCCAACAAGCGTCACGTGTGTTCCGTTTGTCAGGGGGGTTCGATAATTCGGTCCAGTCGACCGAGACGTTTCGATTGTGTACCTTGGAAATTTGAATATCGTTATTCACGAACGTCTCGGCGCCGTCCAGATGATTGTAAGAAAAAGAAGCTCGGTTTATACTTCGAACGGTTGGTCGATGCGTGGGAACCTTAGGCCTGTGCACGGTTGACAGTAGTGCAAGTCCGTGCGTGATCATCCGTAGCCATTACTTCCTCGTCTGACCAAAAACGATCCAAATCTACTACAATTCGAGTCTATTATATTATAATATAGACTTTCGTCGCTTGTTCTTGAGTCAATAATTACCTATGGCAATCCCTCTACCACGGTCAGTCTTTACTTTGTCTACCCCCCCCCCACTGTGCTCCCTCGGACGTCTCTCCACTCCCACCCTGAAACTCGTCGTTTTTAAGAATAAATAATCCCTACACCTTTAATCCCCGTTTACGTGTCTCTGGTTTTCTCGATAATTCGATCAATCGCACGATATCTCGCGTTCAAACGCCACGGTTGAAAAGCGCGCGAATTGTTTGTCTCCGACCCGAAATTTTTCATTTCTTGTTTCTCACGTTTCTCCTTTCAATAGTCTCTCTCTCGCTGCGCGATATTATCGCTACTCCTGTGTATACATATAGTATACGTATATATATTCATATACGATCGTTATTATCACTTATGATTCGTGCAGTCCTTCGTACGGAACGTCCGATTGATACGTTGATTTATACACGACGGAAAAGATCGTCGATAGTTTCGTCGACGGCCCTATTCCTGGGGATTTACACGTTCCTTCGGATCATTGGAAGCATCGGACACACTCGGCCGTGAATTCATCGGTTTTATCAATCCCCTTAACAGCGTGATTTTAACGAGAAATTCTCGCGCGACGAACCGATCGACGTCAGACACGGGATGAAAAAGAAAATCGTATGACACGACTTTCATTCGTGGTGTTTCGAATGAAAAGAAAGAAAAAAAAAAAAAAGAAACACTTTAACGCGTTTAATCTTCGCTCCCTGCTCCGATATTCCCTCCGTATTCATTATAACACACAATCTTCTACGTCGTTTAAATATTCTCCTATTCCCGTCCATTCTCTTTCCTGTCTCGACGTCGGCATCGTCGAGACCGCCTAGCGTAATCGTTTTGTTTTTGCTTATTCTCCTTATAGTAGCGTATCTTTAGTTTACCATTTTACCGTGTGCAAGTGACACACGTCTCGGTAACAATCGTCGTAGTATTATCGTTCGTTATTTC